GAAGGTCTAAGATGAAGCCCAGAAACTTGAATTTATTTAAACTTAAAGCGTGGTCATGTGAATGTCAGGCACATTAAGGTGCATACTGATTGGGCTATGCTGTTGTATAGCATGTATATGGTAGAATAGTCAGTAATTTTTTCCATATGGTAGAAGTATCAGTTATACTGAAATTCTGTGGGGTTTGGTTGGGTTTTTTTATGGTCTTTTTTTTTTTTTATTTATTATTATTATATTTTTGTTCACCACAGTGCTTTACTTAAAAAATTTTCCAAGAAGAGTGTTTGCGGAATAAAATTTACTTCTCAGTGGAAAACATCGAAGTACCTTGGTTCCTTAAGCTTGACTCATGACATAATTGCTGGAATAAAAATTCAAGATGTTGCAGAAGCTCTTTTTGCATTAGCAAGTGGAGCTCTGTGTGCGCTATCCATGCTATATGTCTTCCTACCACATACAGCTGTAGATCAGCAGCAATCATAGCAGCCTAAATGGGACCACTTCTTCAGTTCTATGCAGTACTAAAATGGGATTGGAGAGTAGACTACATAGTCATCAGATAGTTCAAGAAAACACTAAGGAAGCTGGGTAGCTATGGCTGTGACTTTCAAACTTGAATAGCATACCTATTTTCTTGGACTCCAACTACATGAGCAAATCTGAATTCCATCCTGTAAGAACTGTTTTACCCATGGGACTGCTCTACAGGAAGTGTTGTCATCTTTCTGCCAGATAACTCAAGTTTTAATTTGTGAAAAGGGAGCTTCAAGTAAAGTAAGCTATGCTTTCAGTCAATTTCTTAGATTTCATATTAGCTTTACAAAGACCATTTCATTAAAGCGCAGGGAAAAAAGAGCAGTTGGCAGACGAAGACAAATCTAATGCATATGTTCGTAGGTGTCTCAAGCTCCAGTTATTGATGATGGAGTCCAGGGAGCTGTTACGCTGACATATGTATATATATTATACACATTTGTTAGTTCAGCTGACTAGTTTCTTGCTGTTAACTGTGTTAAGTAGCTCTGCATTGGTAGTGATTGTGGAGTGGAGACCTATGTGTAAATATTTCATTAGTTTTTTAAACCTCAGGCAGGAGGCCTCAGCCTGTTGAGGGAGTATATTTGAAAATCTTCAGTCTTTGCTAGTGAGTAAAGAAAATGCTGCTTTTCAAAGAGTTCTCACACTACACAACTCCATTAGATCAGAACAGTGAGGAAAAAACATTGCAAATAAGACAATATTCTGAGAAGGCTGAAATTTTTGGAAATACATTTTTGCGCCCTGCCCCAGGTGTCCCCCTCAGTCCTATAGAGTAATACAAGAAGAAGCAAGAGAAACAGAATCCATTTAGTCCTATACATTAATTTTTCTGTTACGTAAACTATTTCTGAATCAATTATAAATAGGTTGAGGATTAGAACGGCTCTGTGGTAGCCTGCAATTGGTCCGGTTGAGTACTGTGTGCCTGTGGGTCTGTGCCCCTGTTCTCCCTGGGCAGTTTTTTGATGTGGGAGGCCAAAGTTCTTCCAGCAGTTAATAGCCCTGTAAATTATATTGGTACAATAAAAGTAAATACGGTAGTTCTTGTGGCAAGACTTCCCTTCCAGCATTGCTTTTAGCATCCTGGCGTACTTCCCAAAGAATGCTGTATTAATGATTTGTACAAATATTAATGTTACCTGAAAGGAATAATTTACCTTGTATGCCTTTTAAAAGAGAGAGCGCTGAGAAGCTTAACTTTATCAGGCCTGAAAGTGAATCTGAACTATTAGACAGAAAAAATAGCTACAAATGTTATTCTAGAGGCTTATTCATAAGTCTGTCTTGAGAAAGGCAAGTGCTTCCACAGAGTCCAAGATCTTTGGTGAGATTTGTCATTTTAGCTCCAAGCTGAGGCAAGACACTTTCCTACAGAATTCTGTGTAGCAATTTCTGCTCTGCTCTGAGTGAAACTGGTGTGTTTTCAAGCCTTTGCACTGAAGGCGGCCTGTCCCACCATGGACAGCATGGTGCTCTGGAGGTGCTTGGTACTAGGCATGCCTCACAGGCGTCCATCTGAAGGAGAACCATTTCCTCTGGGGTCAGAAAACTTGAAGTTGAGCGTGGCTCTAGTTCTCATTGGCATGCCTCGACCAACCGGGCCAGGGGCTGTTTTGAGCTGTAAATTGTGTGCTGACTCCTAGTGGCTTGTCTGTGCACGTGTATGGGGTTTTGGTTTGGACTCCTCTCTTTCACTGTTCTTGCTCTGTCTGGTTTCAGAAATTCTGTGGTGATCTTAAGAACTCTTTCCTGATAAAAACTTGTGCATGTGGTGGTTGTGGTTTTATTTTTGTTTTCCATTAACTGACAGGCATCTGCAAAAAGCTTTGGATTTGATAAATTGTCATTTCCTGGTAAAAAGATTCCTATTTGTAAAAACAAAACCCAATTAATCATCACCTGTCTTTTTTTTGGCTCTTTTCTCCCTGTGTAAAACAAAAGATAAAGCCCAACTAGAAACATGAGTTAGGAAGCTGTGGCTTATGGTGCAGCACTGCAGGGGCTATAAGTGATGTCTTTGCTTTTATTAAAAGAAGAATATAAAACGTCTTTCACTTCTCTGTGGCTGTGCTTTATGCAAAGTAATTCCTAAATGCATTGTAAAAGGAACATACTGAGTGTCTCTTGGCAAATGCAGCCTTTTGAAAAGTATAACTGTGCATGTTTTATGCGGTAACTTCCTTCTTCAAATACGAGAACACTGCTGTCATTGCTTCTTCTGTAAAGGAGTCTGTTAGTTAAGGGAGCCAAGTATAGGCTTACTGGAAAGGACACCACAGCTCTCTGAAGTTGTGGTGACCAGTGTTACATTCATGGATGTAACTGTGCAATCCCCTCTTTATCCAGGGCAGGCATGGTCCTGATATAGGAGTAGCTTGCACTTGATATAAATCCCTGCAAACCAACAGAAATGCTTACAACATTTAAGCATCGTGGACTATCATGTTTCTTGCCCTCTCCCTTCTCACACATTTGTCTTTAGAGTAATAAAATACATTTTTTTTGCGTATATTTTCGAAATTCACCTCAAGATGATGCTGAGAGAGGTATTTTTAAGGCTGTATTTAATTTTTTTGTTCTTTTTCTTTAGTTGTTTTTTAAAGAAAAAGGTAAAACAAGAGACCCATCAGCCCATGTTCCTGAATAAAATTGGCACTTGGGGCTAATAATTGCAGGCCCAGGAAATCTTTACACTTGTGTCTGTAACCGTCTGGTGCCCAGGAAGATCCTGATGGTTCTGAGAACTGAATTAATGCTGCTGACATCAGAGTTGACATCTGAATACTACCAGCCTGTGAGATGCAGCTGGATCCTGCATTCGTGCAGTTTAAGGCTCTGATGTGCCAACAGCGGTGCCTGCAGCTGTAGGACCCAGTGTTCCTGTCCACCCTGGCTCTGCACAGGAAGGGCGATATTTTCCATGGTGATGATTCCCTGTTGCAGTAGGATGACATCTTACTCTGTTAGAGTTTGTGCATCAGACCTCTAGGAAATGCTCAGCTAGAGTAACAGTGTCTGTGAGAGCTGTAACCCAGTGCTGACTTCAACAATACCAGGTCCCCAAAAAGTGAGGCCAGCCATGGTCATGGCAATGCTAGTGGAGCAGCTTGGGTTGGCGGATGATGCACTTTCTATCCCCACCTGAGTGAGAGGAGGGGGATTTCTACCATAAAGAGAAGGTTTTGTCCATGCTTCCCCCCTCTGCTGCTGACAGCAGGTCTGCCCCCCCAGAGCTGCAGTCCACCCTGTGGCCTCTCAGCTGCAGCACATTCCCTTGGCTCGGCAGCTTCGCTCTGCCTCTGGCCCCTCATCCTTGCAGCAGCTGTGTTCAGATCTGTCTGCCTGAGAAATCTTGGGCTGGCTTTGCCTGATAGTTGAGATGAATGATTGCTGTCACCTTGGGCTAATTGCACATATAATCTATTCTTCCCTTTTCTCTAGGGCTTCTCTTTCCATAGAGTAGAACCCAGCCACAGACAAAAAAACTCAAAAAAACCCAAAAGACTGCCCCCCAAACCACCCACCCAAATCCAACAAAACCCTGAAAAACCACAACAAACCCAAACAAAAAAAAACCAAGCAAAGAAACAGATTTTGCCCTTTAAATGGAAATAAATGAAGGACAAAAGGAAGGAGAGGCCAGTGCAATTTTCTACATTTGTTCTTTCTAGATGCACTTACGCTGTGAGGAACACTTGCTTTTCTCTGTGAACAGCAGACCTTCCCATCACCGGGAAACTAAATATATCACTGAGAACTGCTCATTCACTGAGAACTGCAGTTCATCCTAAAAGGATGCTGTTGTACTGTCGTTGTATGAGATTGACTGCTTTCATCTACTAGGAAAACTAAATCACTTGCTTTTTGACCCTCCTATGCTTCAATGCTGTTACTGCTTGCCAGGGATCTCGCTCTGGTTCTTGTGCTCAGAATGACTCTTACTGCCATCGTATGCTAATTGTATCAGATAGACATTACTGGAAACCCACTAGTTGTAGCCATTTTGGCATGTGCACGTGTGTATGAGTTAAGTGTTTGGTTGTTGAATTCTTAGAGTGGACTTTTGTATCTCATTTTTTAAGACCAAACTCCAAACCCTACCTCCTATTTGAAAGAAGAATCAGATTGCATGCAAAATTCTTTTCTTGGAGGGGAAAGAAATTGTAGAGCAGTCTTTATACAATCACTTTTAATTTTTCTAAGTAAAAGTTTTGTTGCTAGTGTGTAATATTGTTGGGGAAAACCCCACTGAATAGTGGAATGTGTCTTTAGTAGGCATTTTCTAACATTTTAAATGCCAAAACTGTTATTGGAGCATGAAATAATTAGTATTAATTGAATGGTTGGTTTTGCTAAGTTTTAGATACACAAACAAAATTTACAATTCTGTGTAAAAATAAGATGGAAAAAATAAGTTTACTTTTCACCTCTGTTTGTTTTTGTTTTCCTTTTTATAATAGGGCTTTATTTGTCCTCTCTGTATGAAGTCTCATGGATCAGCTGAGGAGCTGTTCAAGCACTATGAAGCAGTTCATAATTCTGGCATTGATTCAACTCATGGAGGGGAAGGTCATCTGTCACCGGAAAGGTGAAACAGTACTCATTTGTGCATGTGCTTTTGTGTCAGTGTTGAGCTGCTTCTAATTACACTGAATGCTGTATTAATTTGAACACTTAATTATGTACCCAAGTATTCAAATGTTTATGCCCCGCTTCCAACTACAGTTAAAAGCAGCTTGAAATTACATTGGCTGATATCGATCTGACAATAAATGGAAATAAATGAATTTTGACCAAGCCAAGTGCAAGGTCCTGCACCTGGGTCGGGGCAATCCCAGGCACAGCTACAGGGCAGAGAAGAGATTCAGAGCAGCCCTGCGGAGAAGGACTTGGGGGTGGTGGTTGATGAGAAACTGAACATGAGCCAGCTTCAGTATGTGCTCGCAGCCCAGAAAGCCAACCATATCCTGGGCTGCATCAAAAGAAGCGTGACCAGCAGGTCAAAGGAGGTGATCCTGCCCCTCTACTCTGCTCTTGTGAGACCTCACTTGGAGTATTGTGTACAGTTCTGGTGTCCTCAACGTAAGAAGGTCATGGAGCTGCTGGAGCAAGTCCAGAGGAGGGCCACGAGGATGATCAGGGGGCTGGAGCACCTCCCGTATGAAGAGAAGCTGAGAAAGTTGGGGCTGTTCAGCCTGCAGAAGAGAAGCTGCGTGGAGACCTCATAGCAGCCTTCCAGTATCTGAAGGGGTCCTACAAGGATGAGGGAGAGGGACTTTTCGTTAGGGACTGTAGCAATAGGGCAAGGGGTGATGGGTTTACACTTAAAGAAGTGAAGTTCAGGTTAGATATAAGGAAGTTCTTTACAGTGAGGCTGGTGAGGCACTGGAATGGGTTGCCCAAGGAAGCGAGAAATGCTCCAACCCTGGCAGTGTTCAAGGCCAGGTTGGACAGAGCCTTGGGTGACATGGTCTAGTGTGAGTCATCACTGCCCTTGGCAGGTGGGTTGGAACTGGAAGACCTTAAGGTCCTTTCCAACCCAAACCATTCTATGATTTTATGAAAACCAGATGCACATGTTTATATTGTTAAATAAGTCACCTGTTTCTCATGCAGGTGGCAATGCGATATTACAGACTGGAGTGATTTTTAGGAATGTGGCAGGAAAAAATACAGTTTCCTCCTAATTTCTGGCATAGAGCTGAAATTTCATCTTTTGAGGGTGGGGAGGACAACTCTGAATACAGAGAAGAAACATGATTTTGTCCCTGGGTATTTAGTTTGCCTATGGGGTAATTACAACATCAGCATTTGCCTTAATAGTTTTGTGTATTTTACCTAGTTATTTGCAAATCTGAGAATTTTTTGTCTGTCACTAATTCTCCTTCTGTCTTCCAGATACTCCATGTTGATCTTCAGAAATCTTCTCTAATTTATTTCATTTGACTGTTTGGTCAAAACTGTATTGTTAAATATATTCCTAGGAAACATATCAGGTAGCAGGAACAGATAATGTGAAACATTCTCCAGAAAAGTTTAACTGAGTAGTTGGCCTGTGTTGGTTTGGGAAGCTTTTTCTTAGGGGTAAAATTTACATAGGTTTCCTTTTGCTTCTTTCTAGTTCTAGTTCTTTCTCTGTTAAGTGTTTATTTTGGACTGCTTTAAATGACTGTCCATGCTGCTGTATTGTTAGTGCCTCCCAAACTCCCTTGGTTTGTACACAGCAGTGTCAGAGTGAGCAGCTATCTGTGGCATCATTCAGCAGCAGAGGTACACACTGCACGACCCCACGGGTTGTCACCTGCTAAATGGAGCTGGCTTCTGCCGAAGTAAATGGTTCAAATGTTTTGTCACTAGTAGAAATGTGACCCAAAATGATAATTACATTGAAAGAAATACAGGTATTTATGTAACTTACTCAAGAGAGGGTGGTTCTTTGGTGAGAAAAGAGTGTAAAGGGTAACCTGTTTCAGTTGTTATTCCAATGAAGATCCATATCTTCCCAGTATCGTGCAGAGCTATCAAGCCAGTAAGAGCCAGCATTAGTAGAGATCTGGTCTTCATGCATGGATGGGCCCTTCCCTGTGGATAGCTGCCTTCTCTCCTGGATGCTGCAACAAAAGAAATCAAAATTAGTCCTAAAAATTAGCATTAGTACAGGAGAAAGTGGTAGGGTACTAGTGGAGTTATACTGGGTTTCCTATATGCACATTTATTCAAGAATGGGCGTTTCTTCTCTGTCTAACATAAAACTTTTTGGAGTGATATAACTTAGACCTGAAATGATTCTCTTAGTAGAATAATAGCTTTCACATGAGGGAATTATTGGTAATAACTATATTGTTTATATAGTTTATAAAATACTTATTTTTATGCCTGCAAATTTCCAGTGTCAACCAGATGTTGGCTGGTGAAATTTATTTATATTTTTCCTGGCTCTTGGCAGTTTAAGGACAAGTGGTTTTGTTTTCTCTAATGTAATTGAAAAACTGGACAAGGTCAGGGAGTTTGGATGGAGTGAAGGTAGTCTGGCGGGAGCTGTTGTGTAACACATGACTATTTCTTCCTCTTAGTGTGGTATTCTTTAATGTTTCTCTGTTTTATACTTGCTTGAAAAAACTCTCATTCAACATAAGCATGTTTTTCCAAGACTTGGAATACTGTATTAAAGAAATATTGCAGCCTACATCAGGGAGCCACTCTGTCAGCCACCTAGGAGTGAAGCTTACATGTAATTCATAGTACCAAGTCTGGGAGGTGAAATTCCTTATTTAGTCTATAGAGAAAGCTAGGCACTGTGAATTACATTGTGTCCTCTTCCTCCCACTCCCCAGTAAACTGTCATGATTATGTGCCAAGGGTAAATCATGTAACTTTGCCCCAAGCGATTCAGCAAGGCCATTGGTTTTGCCAGATGGCGAGGCTCAAATGTGCTGAGAGGAGGAAGGGATTGTAGCAAGCCTAGCAGAAAGAGAGATTTGGTGAGGGTTTGTGTGACAGTAAGAAAAACAAATACAAGTTTTTTTACAGTGTCTACAGTGATCCCTTTCACCTTTTTTTCTTCCATTTTCCACTGGTTGGTTAAACTGAATTTAGGTTTCATCTTAAAACTGTCAAGCAAAACTGTGTTGGGAATACAGAGTGAACTGCTCTTTTCCCTTTTTCCTCCCCTCCTCCTTCCCACCTACGACAAACTATTTTATACAGCTGAAAACCTTTTATCTGCTACAAAGACCAGAGCATCTTAAATGCTTTGCTATTGCAGATCTGGTATATGTTCAACCCAGCTTCAATACAGTTAACCGTTTCACCTGCCTGAAGTTTCATTTATAATCTTAGGTGTAAGTATTAGCTAATTTACTTACTCATACTGGTGAGAAACCTGCTCCATCTTTACCACCCACAACGATGTATGAATTTTGGATTACAGCTACACCTGCCTCAGTAAAGTTGTATTTGCAGGCCTCCAGTGAATGTCTCAGGCAGAATAATGTGTAAATAGCAGAAAATCTTCCTCTGAAAAAAAATGAGCCTCTCAAAATCCTATGTTTGTTTTGCCATTAAAATTGTTCCACTGTTGAGTTCTTGTTTCACTGGTTCAAGTGTGTGTGTTTGACTTGCTTCTTGATGACCCTGATGTGATGTTAATATGCTAATGTAGATTGAATCTATTCCTTCCCAGTTCATCTAAGGAATAGCTTGCTTTGTTGTTTTGGTTTTGGGGTTTTTTTCCTCCTAAGTATGAAATAATTTAAAATAACAACTGTGAAGGAGGGGATAATGCAGTGCAGCAGCAATAATATTGTATGGTATAAAACTGAGAGAATTTGTTGGCTTTGACACCCACACACATGTACTCTGAGGAGTTCTGTGTACTCCACAGTCTTGCCACTGTACAAACAATAAGAAAGGATACATTTGCATTATTTTAATGGCCTGTGCATTCTAGATTTGGAGTGGCTGTGTCTCAGTAATGCAACATCATCCTTGCATGTATAGTTATGCAATTTTGTAAGGAGACTAAATCAATTGGTAACAGTTGTAGCCTTGGATCTTGTGTTCTTGCGTGGTTGGAGACTTGAGCACGAAATTTGGGAATTTAAAATCCCAAGGCTTTAGAAATTCAGACCATTAAGTGAATGTGTCTGTGGGGCATACAGAGTTGCTGTGTGCATGAAAAATTATGTAACTGCATATTTAAAAAGGAGTGAGATAGCGCACTGTCTTTTAGCAGTGTTCCTTTACGTGATACAGGAAGTGAAGGAGAATAAACCTGCCCTTTTCATAAAGAGTCATGCAAAACAGTTAAATATCCCAGTGTATAGCTTTGCCATTCTGAACTCGTGGTGGAGCTGATGCACTCATGTAGATTTACACTGTGTTTTAATGAGACTTTTTGCATACCTATTTCTTTACTTTTCCAATTAAAATGTTTAGCATTTTTCAAGTGATGTGCAAAGTGAATGCATAAGCATCTATTAATCTGGTTTATTCCAAGTTTAAAAAAAGCAAAAAAGTAACTATTCATGTTTATTATGTTTATTATTATGTTTATGTAGTACATGGCTATCACTCCAGTTATTTTATACACATTGTAACCTGTATGTAATTGATAAAATATAACCACTGCATATTCATTTTCTCCACTCTGTGGATGTATTTATTCAGAGATGAAGTATCACTGCTCCGACAAGAAGTCCAAGACTTGCAAGCTTCACTGAAGGTTGGAAATATATTTTAATTGCACTTGGTTAATTGTTTCAAATTGCAAAATGTTCCACTGTCTTAAGCAACCAAATTTACAGTTCTCTCTCCCCATCTCCTTTTTTTTTTTTTATGTGTGTGTTTTTCCTCTAGGAGGAGAGGTGGTATTCAGAAGAGCTGAAGAAAGAACTAGAGAAATTGCAGGGGCAGCGGCAGCAAGTAATTGCTTTAAAATACTTGAAGCAGGTTTATCATCAGCATTGACATTGAAGATTAATACCTTATTTGTAAGGCACGTGGCCTGATTTAGTTAGTTCTGTAATTTGAATATTGACATGTTCTTGAAAACAAAGCTAGTTATACAGTTGCATTGTGTAGAGGTATTTATAAATTTGAAGAACAAAGTCAGAATAGATAATGATTCTTCCTCTCTACTGACTGCAAGTTCAGTTCAGACTTTTCCTTCTGTTGGGGTTATTCAGAACTCAGTTTATTAAAGCAAATAAACCAAATGTGGCATTTCTCTCAATTATGAGAAGGGCAATGAGGTCTTTCTTGTAAGGACTTTGGAGAACAGTAGTTTGATGTCACTGATAGCTAAATGAACTAAACAAACAAGGTAAGGCAAATACTGGTGCATTGTGCCCTACGGAAGCTCTTGCTTCTTTTATTACTGTGAGCTACTTACATACAGGATTTTACAAACTTCAGAAAGTGCTTTCTGACAGAATGCCTTCTCAGAATGTATTTAGTGATATCTGTAACCTCTGTTTTTAGGGTGGATTTCAATACTGAGGAAAGGGAGGGAGAGGGGACTCTTCCTGGTGTCTTTCCAGTCTGTAAGCCTGATTGATAGTGTAGTGATATAGGAAATTGAAAATTATCTTGGCCTTTTTCAGTCTTTGAGATATAACTGTTTGAAATTGGGTATTTTAATCTGCTTTGCAGTATTTGGGCATGGAAGTCTTTATTTCCCTGTCTTTTCCAAAATGGGATGAACTCTGGTAGTAGTAGTTTTTATTCCTTCTGTCTAATGATGCATTTGTTCTCTTTTCTTAAGGATTCTAAGTCTGACGGATTGACAACGGCTACATCCACAGGTGGCTACCATTTTATTATATTGATTTCTGCACTGTCTGAAATTTCTGATTTTTTTTTCAGTGTAGCTTTTAGGTTTATGATAAAGCATTTTTGGTAAATTGAAGAGCTAGAAAGCTGTAATGGTACAATTACTAGAAAACAAGTTCATTGTAAGTGCTCTTGATACGCATAGTCTGAGGAAGTAGTTCTAGAGGCTTGGGGTTTGTAATTTCTAGAAGTGAGACAGAAGTTCTCCTGGCTCTGAAAGCAGTGCTCACAAATAGTTTTGGGCATATTTTTCATCATTTCATATATTCAAGCATTCAGTACAAGTCTCTTGCTGAGAAAGACTGTGATTGTTTATATTTAAACTATAGCACTTGTGAGGGCTGGTTTTATTTAGTGTTTTTTTGTACTCATTGCTAGCAAAGTAAACAATGAATTTTTTTGTTTATTTTTTGTTTTGCAGACCAATACTTTTTGCTCTGTATTTTTCTCCATGAGGCAGTCATGGAATAGAATTTTCCTTATGTGTGCATAAAGTGTCTGACTGATCATGATTAAAGCTTTTAATCACAGGTTTTTGGGGGCTTACAATTTAGCAGCATGTTGCTATCTGTGACCAGTGAAAGCCAATATATACTTTATCCTGCAGAGTACTTGACTAGTGGCAGGTTCCAGCATCATGCTTGTAGATATTTAACTTCAGTGAAGTTGTTCACTTTGCTAAGGTAATTGGATGTTAAGTGAATTTGGATTACGTATTTACCTGCTGTGGTTTGTTATGGGCATAATTGTATTGTCCTAGCTCTTTGGAAAATAATACTGTTCTTTTTGTGGAAATAGAATCATTAGAACGGCAACTAGAAGAGATCCAAGTAGAAAATTTTAATATTAAGCAAATGAAAGACTTATTTGAGCAAAAAGCAGCACAACTGGCCACTGAAATTGTGGGTAAGTATGTTAATGTGAGATCTGATTCTGTTTTCTACTGGTGCAGCTTGGGCAAGTGATTATTTATTCAACTTCCTTCTTATTAGAACTGAAATCAAAGTATGATGAAGAAATCAGCCTTCGGGAAGGAGCAGAACAAAAAGTGACAAACCTGACACAAGAACTGCAGAAGGAGAGAAGTACGGTGGAAGATTTAAAGACAGAGCTGGTATTCACATCACACTAATGTTTTTGTTATTTTCAAGTCCAGGGAGGGATATACTTAAAATGCTTGCAAATGCAGTTTTAAAGCAGTTAAACTCTGTTGAACTTGGAGATGTCTGCTTGTGGGCTCAAATAGTTCAGAACACCATTGTTTCTCATCTATTTCACTGACCTACTTTCAGTGTTTTTCCATTAAGGAAGTACATGTTGTTTCTGACTCATATATTAAAATTTACCCTACTTTATATTACAGTCTGCTTGTTTGATGCTCTACCCTTCAGCAATTTTGCAGGGTATTACATATATAGATGTGCTATGCAGGCCTGTATTTGAATCATGCCATGGCTGACTTCCACAGCTGTCTTTAGATTACCCTTTTTCCATGAGGTGTTACGATCTGACTGTCCCTGGACAGCTGCATTCGTAAGAAGTGAGGTGTTTGTGACATGGTGGCTGAAAGGCTGACAGCTGTCATCACCATGCCTATGTTAATGTTGTCCCTCTTGCACTCGGCTGATAATACCAGCGTGGGTGTATTCCAGGATTTTGTCTCTTGGTGACTTTTATATACAGCTATGGCTTCAGGGAGCTGTCCCAATGACTCGGCAGTTGCGCCATTTCTGAAGCAGGAGTGAAGGAGACTTCCTAGTTTCTCCCACTCGTCCACTGCTTAGACTCTGGAGGAAAAGAGGACTAATTTATCTTCTCCTTTTTCCCTGTATTTAGCTGCCCTAAAGGGCTCATGAATTCCTCTTGGCTCTGCCCAGCCACTGGACCTATCCATTCCTGTTTAGCTGTTTCTTATCATCCTTTCTCCTGCATTCTTGCCCTTTTCCTGTACCTTTGCTGTTCTAGATGCCAACACTCCTCTTTTCTGCTTTCTTTGGTGCCCACTGTTGCCTTCCCTCTCCTTCCCCTCCATAGCTTCATTTTGAGGATCATTATGCTGTTTTAAATGTAATTGCCAACAGATTTTACCTGTGGGTCTGGTATAAGGCATGTCTGACAATACTTTCAAGACATTTCCATTTTTTTTGTCTGTTCTTGTGGTTTTTTTAAATAGTTCTTGAAGACAGAGGCAGTATCATTGTAAAAGTCTGTGTAGCACCGGATTGTGTTGTGTCTCAGTCCTGAGATGGGCTTGTGAGTATTACAGCAGCAAAGTATATACAGTAATCCATTCTGTAGTGTAGTGGAGTCAGTACAGCCTACTTCTCAGTGAATTGTGACTTCAGATAAATTTCTTGCATGGATTCCCTGTCATTTCAGTGTTTTTTCCAGGGAATGTATCCCTCCTGTACCTAGCCATCTACCTACATAAAAATTACTGAAATATAATCTTTGAGACTTTTCTCATTTGTCAGATTTCATTGAAATCAGTCAACAAGTTCTAAGTTTAGCAGGTGAGAACTGACAACCTTTGGGAATGCTAAGTACTTTTGCTGTGGTTCTGTTTTTTGTGGGGAGTTTGTTCTTTTTTCTCAGCTGTAATACTGTATATGTCACCTTGTGTGTAAATTGATGATTTGAAAGATTTTTAGAGATGACATTGACACTGGAAACATGTCTGCCAACAGCATGTTGCTCACTGCTGCTCTGCTACTTTTCAGCTACAAAGGCCGGGTGTGGAAGATGTAGCCGTCCTGAAAAAGGAGCTGGTCCAGGTTCAGACACTGATGGACAAAATGACACTGGAACGTGAGAGGGAATCTGAAAAACTGAAAGATGAGTGCAAGCACTTGCAGGCACAACAGGCTAACTCAGAGGTAATAATCATACCTTAAGAGGTGTGTGCCAGCTTTACCACGATTTTCATAAAAAATGGAAAATACTAATTCATCATAATAAAAAAGCCTCTTAACCAAGTCTTCTAACTTACCCAATAGAGATGTCTCTTCATTACAGTAAATTCCATAATTCTGTCAAAAATGTGTATTTTCTACAAAAGCCTCCGTGCTTTTCATTGCAAAACCTTTTCTTGGCATAGAATGTTATTACAAGAACCCAGTAGCAGAGGAAGAGGCCTTCTAGTGAGCTGTGGTCTTTCCTCTGGGAGGGAGAAATAAAGCAATACCTGTGTGGTTTGAAGACTTGTTTCTCTTACTGAGCTACATCCAAACAAAACCAGTTGTTACTGAAAATGATGGGTTTGGTTAGCTTTTGAGTTGATGTGCCTGAAAATGGGTGCTAGTGTTAAAATACATAAAAGAGAAATTATGAAGACAAGGTAGAAAATAATTTCAGTATTCTTATAGGACATACATAATTCTTGAATTTCCACAAGTTTTAAAAGTCTCAGTGGATATTGTAAACTGTTTTGTTTTTTTTTTCCTAGTTTTTATTGCCAAATGGAAGGCTTTTTTATACCTATTATTTACTGTAGGAATATTTTGTATGTAAGGTACAAATCTGTTCTGCACAGTTGCCCCCCACCCTAGTCCACTCCATAATGGGCTCCAAGTGTTGCCTGTTATCAAGCAGAGCAGGAAGTCAGGGACTGCCAGGCCTCACCATGTCTCAAGGTCAAGATGTCAGAATGTCACCTGTAATCTCTTTCCAGGTGATACCACCTTTTCTCTCTTTGTTGCTGCAGTCTAAAGTATAAAATGAAATCTATTGTTCTCATGTTAGATTTAATTTTTTAATATTTTTGTTTTCTCCATATTATGCTGGGTTTGAACTTCTAAATTCATTACATTTAAAAAGGATCTTAAGTGTCTAGTTGAGTTGCAGAACATGCTGATTTCTTCAGAAGTACTTTGTGAAGGCTTGTCCTGCTTTGGCTGAGTCAGTGAAGGAAGGTTTAAATTGCTGATGGGCAATGTGAAAGCGCTTATCCATGTTCATTGTTCTTGCATACAGAATTGATGATAACTTTGTGTTTAAGGAAGCAAAGCTAACTGCCTCTCCCATAGCAAATATTCATTTTTCTTGGGTTTGGTTCCTCTGCTTTTCCACCAGTGAACACTTCTGCTTTCATAAAATGCAACATGTCTGACTTCGATCTTTAAGAGTGAACCTTACTCCTCAAACTGTCTCAAACTTAAACAGGGGGGATTTAGGTTAGATTTAAGAAAGAAATTCTTTACTGTGAGGATGGTGAGACACTGGAACAGGTTGCCCAAGGCAGTTGTGAATTCTTCATCTCTGGCAGTGTTCAAGGCCAGGTTGGATAGAACTTTGAGCAACCTGGTCTAGTGGAAGGTGTCCTGTCCATGGCAGGGGGGTTGGAACTATATGATCTTTAGAGTCCTTTCCAACCCTAAGCATTCTATGATTCTGTGATTCTGTATCACTCCTGGCCTGTTTTGTGTTGTTTACCATGTCAGTGAGGGAAATTGCTGACAGAGATAATAGCAAGAAATCCTGGCAAAAATACAGTATCACTGAAAAGGCTTTTGTCTGACGTATGATTTATTTTACTGAGGAGTTGGTAAATCCATACCTTCTGAAGAACTCTCTTGCTGGGTGCTGTTGCACCTCACTGGCATATTGATTGGTACAGTTTCATGAATGAATGACGTGACATTGTAACAGTCATCACTGAAGACTGTCAACTGTGTTTAAGACCTTTTAATTTTGTCCTCCCCCTTTTCTATTGTCCCACACCAATACAGCAATACAAGCAAAACTTGCCAACGCAAAGCTCTGGTCTGTAGTGAAGTGGAGGCCTTGCAGCATTCCCCAGTTTACATGAAGGAATGCCTAAGATTTCTGTAGGACTCCTAGTATCCTCTGTCCTGTTAAGATTTGCAGGTGTGAAGGATTTCTGATATATTTTTATTCTGGGCTTTCATGTGCCCTAGATTTCAGAACTGCAGTTTTGACTTTGATCATTTGCACTGCAGAGCTTTAAAGAAGTGCTGCCTGCCTGGCATTATTACGAACTCCTTAAGGCTTTCCCTTCTGCCTCTCCTCCCAGCAGATATGTTGAGGTCCAGGAATTGTTTGAGGGTACAATACTGTACTAAACATGAATCTTCCATTGTTTTAAAGTTAAAATTATGTGTGCTGAGAGCTTTGTCAGATGTGAAAAAGGAGTATCACAGTTAGAATTACAAATATGATGTGGTTATGTGGCCATGTAAAGTTGCTGCATAATTACAATTTGGTTTTAACTGTGAGATCCCACAACTATGCTGCAGAATTTAATTTTCATTTCAAAATCCTGTCTCTGTAGTCTTTTGTGGTTTTGGGTGTTTAGTTTTCATGTGAAGATAAAATGACATAGAGACAGGGGTGTAACAAAAATCTTTCATCTTAAAACATTCTCACAGAGTGTGAATTGTTTGTGTTCCCCCAAATTAGGTATGTTTAAGTTCTGACATAACTAGCCATTTTAAAATGTAGTTTTGAAGTGCAGCCTTTAACAGAAAAAAAGACTCGTGAAGAAGGTTTTTTCAGCCCTTTTGAAAGTAAGAGCAGATCAGGGAGAAGGCTGCATGATGCCCCTAGCTGTTATGAGGTGTTCACATAACAATTCTTACATGTAAGGAAGGATTATAAACTACATTGCAACAACTATAATAATGTCAGATGTCTGTGTAGTATCATCAGTATGTAGGCTGAGCAAGAGAAGACCAAATTGCTGTGTGGCAGAACATGGTAAGCGGTGGTAAGCCGGTTCTTCTCAAAAGTGTTACTGTCTTCTCTGCCTAATTCCAATGTGTGGCAACAATAGCCCAAGATGTGTTCAAAGTAAAAGCTTTTCTGTTGACATAAAGCGAATGATCAGATTTTTTGTAAAAATTAAAATTACTCATAGTGGTGAAAACTTTTCTACTTTTCTTAAAAAAACAGCTATGAAAAATGTTAGCCATAAGAAAACAAGAAATGAAAGTCCTTAATTGGCAGAATGGGTACAATTCTGGTCATAAAAGTTTGGCCATGTTTTATCTCAGCTTTGCACTTTAAGAACTCCTCAAGGGCTGCAAGTGTAAAGTGATTCTTACACCATCCTTGGATATTTTGGTTTCCAGAGTGAGATGTTTTTAAAATAAGTCAAATTTATGGTATGGGTGAAGAGAATAACAAAGATAATCTTAACCCTGTGTGAGTATCTTCAAATGCTGGAGGAGGGGAATGTGAAGAATTGTATAGCTCTACAATTGTTGCCTAAATGTATTCATTATGTTTGGGTGTTTGTGCCTTATCTCAGGGCTGAACCTAAAACTCTGGTGCATGTATCTCCCTGATGAATGTTCATTCTGAGCTATTCTTTCCCTTTTTAGTTTTTTACTATGTTGACTCCTGCATAGTAAACACAGGATGAAAACATCTGCACTGCTGTGGAGTTAAGCATTTCTGTGAATCTCTGCAGATTGGGATTGTTAACTTGAGTGTTCACAGAATTAAACAAGATTAGTAGATGAAATTATGGGAAAATTTAATAAAGCCAAGACTGTTCTTTCTTTTCCACTAAGCAAAGGCATTAAAAACACCAGAATATTTGAAAACAAATTTGAGGAAGTGTGTCTACTAACAGCTTTTGTGACTGCTTATTTCCATCTTTCATCCATCCATTTTATTTGTTCTGCTTTCTAATGGAGACCCTTAAATTTGAGGTAAATATCTTTGAAACCTTTTTATGCTTATAGTAGATTTCTGTTGTATCAAGATAATTTCAAGAGGTTATTAGATATATTCCTGTTTGCCTATTGGTTCATTAATCATACAGACACATCAGCCAGACAATATCATAAATAAATATTCATTCATGATATATTTCCATGTTAAGAATGAAATGTAGTATGGGCTTGTTGAACTGTGAATGAGAGAAATGTGTCTTTAGCAATCTTCTGCACGTTTTCTGCATTATATTCTCTCAGTAGCGAAAAATCCGTACTTTTTTTGCTGAGAACATACTGGAATGTTTGTCTGCCAAAGACAGATCCCAGGATGTGTTTTACCTAACAGCTCTGTAATGAAACAGTCTTGTAAAGCACAACATTACAGAAAGTTGGTTAATAACTGTATGTAGTCATATAATGTGTTTATTTGTTCTCTTTGATCTTCCTTTTTCTGTAGGAAGGTTGTAACTAGTATGTTTGTCTACTAATTCTGTTCTGCTTTAGTTCATCCTTGAATTCAGTATTTATACATTTGTGCTGAAATCTGTAGTTAAGAGAACAAGAAGGAAAATTTCTTTTAAAAGGTCATTATTATATAGTGTTTTCATAGTGTGTGCATTCATACACAGTATGCTTTTAAGGGCAGCCATTGTTACCTATTTAAAGTACTTTCCTTTTTTGCTTCCATTACTGTATTCACATACTTCGCAGTCATTGATATATTTTGTTTTGTACCAATCCTTTTAATGGAGTAGTATTGTTCCTCGATTATGCTGATCTGTAGGGTTGATGTGTCCAAAAGTCACACACTGAGTTTCCATCAGGTGCCAGACTCGCTGCAAGTGCTTTTTCCAGTACATTTTCCTTATGAGGGAGGAGAAGCTTTTGGCCATGTAACTGCAATGACTTGAGAGGGTTTCACCTTGAGCTAGAACTGTGATAATGATTAATAGATAATCTGTTGTGCTTTTCATCAGTTGTGGGCTCAACCTGGCATTTCCTATTGGACTGGGACCAATTTTTGTCTTCAGAAATAGGCCATGAATGAATCTCAGCTGGGAAATTATGCTCAAGTAGTACTTCTGTAGCTAATGGTGCTCTGAGATTAATTTGCAGGTGATTTTATTCTTAAACTGTTCATTTGTATCCAAGATGCTTTTTTTTTTTTTTTTTTTTTTTTTGCTGCCAGACATCTTGCTTTTGTTGGGATACACATGCAGAGCTTTGTTTTAAATGTGGATTTTTCTGTTTGTCTGAGCAGGCTACCATTAACCAGTTGAGAGCTGAACTTGCCAAAGGACCTCAGGAGGTAGCTGTGTATGTTCAGGAGCTGCAAAAACTTCAAAGTTCAGTCAAAGAGCTAGAGCAGAAAAACCAGGTGAGAATGCTGTTATTTCCTATGCTTGTCAGCTCACATTAAATGGAAACACATCACATTCTGCCTTGGGAAGCATTGGAGACTGTAACAAAACACTTCTTGGGGTTGCAGAAGTTGAAAATTCCTTTGCCTTTTTGCTTAATATGAAGGATATTGTAATGTACAAGCAAACACTATATTTTAACTATCATCAGTATGTTACAACTGAAATCCTCAGGGTTGTTATGGTTACAGAATTCTAATTGCTGTAGTTTATGCTTACCTATCATTAAGCAGTATTGCCATCTCACACATGAAAAGAAAAATCGGTACCCTTTGAAATGTTACAGTGTTCTGAATCGTAATTCAGAAAGCATTTTGAGCTCTCTTCATTGGTTTTGCAGTTTCGTAGCTTTTAGACTGTAGTCCTGTCATATTTTCTGGCCATTTATTGAAGTCATGAATAGTAGAAAATGGAAATAAACTCCAGAAGCTTCTCAGCTTGTAAGTATTCCTTGAGAGCTTTTATCAAAGCCCTTTGAGTTTGCTGCGTTTTTTATATTTGCATTAAGAAAGCAGGTGTTGTGGTGAAATAAATGTAGGTAAGGGAGGAAAGGAGACAGGGAGAAAGATGCTCTCTACAACAACCTGAAAGGAGGATGGAGAGAGGAGGTAGCTGGTCTCTTCTCCCAAGTAACAAGTGGTAGGTCAAGAAGAAACAGCCTCAAGCTGTGCCAGGAGAGATTTAGACTGGATGTTAGGAAACATTTCCTCACCGAGAGGGTGATCAGGCATTGGAATAGGCTGCCCAGGGCAGAGGTGGAGTCACCATCCCTGGAAGTGTTCAAAAAGTGTGTAGATGAGGTCCTTAGTGACATGGCTTAGTGGCGGGCTTGGCAGTCCTAGGGTGGAGGTTGGACTTGATGATCTTGGAGGTCTTTTCCAGCTTCTGGTTGATTCTATGGTTCTATGCATGCTGCTGTTTGTTATATGTTTATCTAACATTGTATGTGAACTATACACTTTATGTATGTGTATTTGCCAGCAACCTTGTCAATCTTGGAAGATAGGAAAAGACAGAGACTAAACAGTGTGTATTTAATATAATCAGTATTAAAGCAGCCTTTGCAAAGGAGATAATAAGGTGTAATTAAAATTTGGTGAATTAGGGTGACTCTTGGTTTGGCTCATTAAATCAGGTGCAGAACTGAAATGGTGAGAATTGTTACGATATACTTTTCGACAAACCAGCAACACTGAGTCAAACTTTTGACAGGAGTATTGCTATACAATATAGAGGCCTTTCCTGAATATATTGCTATTGCATTAACAATATGAAGTGAAACAGATTGGTGCATAAGATAACCGTAATTTAACAGTGCTCTGGTATGTCAGGTTAATGCCAAACACCACTTGAGGAATAGGAAGAAGAGAAGTGGCAGGAATAGGAAGAAAAGTGTCAGCAAGCCTCATTTCTCCTTTCAGTTTCAATGACTTAAAGCAGTTTACAGCCATCTCTTTATGCAGCTTTTTGTAAGGTGATATTCATAAAAGTGGTATTCTAGCCAAGGAATCTTGGTCCTGGGGGAACTGGACCTAGAATTGGAAAAGGTAACACTAGCTTCCCAAATAACAGAAATTGCTCACATTTCAAACAGTTCACCATCCTTGAAGAAGCTGTCAGGGGGCAGGGAGGAGCCATTAATACAGGATAGAATGTGTTGCATTTTGTTATGTACATCCATTTAGATTTCCATTGCAATGCAGGAAGGTATTTCTGTGCATTGTTGCAGAATTTTTCAAGCTCATATACAACCTCAAGCAAGGAAGCTGTACAAAGAAGAGTGAATAAGACCAATTCTGAGAGACCAGTGGAACTTTCCTTTATTTATAAAGCACTGTAATTGTGGGGCTTGGCTTGCCTTGCAGAGGCCAGTAATGGCCTGTAGCCCAGAAGAGACCTAATGTGTAAAACCAGCATATTCCCTGAAGTATAGGACTTCTAAACTCATTGCATTTGTGGCTTTTTGTTTTCTTCAAGAAAATTTCAATGTATTATCTACAGGGACAAATGCTTAGTTTCTAACCCTCTGCTGATGTAACTATTCTGAAATTCAATCAGTGCCCGCAGTTTGTTATTTAATGCCTGGCCGCTGTCACGACTAACATGTATTATATTTATTTTTCCAAAGAGCAGTTTTAAAAGAGGAGATTGATGTGGTGTTCCCCATTGCATTTTGTGAGCTGTGAAGGCTCAGGGCTTTTTGTTGAGTGCTGTAATATACTGTCATTTCCTCTTCCTTTTATGTGGCAATCAAGCCTTGGGGAAAACAGGTGGCTTGGGTGTGCCCGCATATCTCTTTATATATCTGGGATGCATCTGGGACATGCATCCAGGTAGGAAACACTGCTGGGTCCGCTGATGTAACCTGAATGACCATAGCTTGGCAGCTTTGCAGCCTCAAGTCTCAGTCTACTTCAAGACAACAGAAACTGTTTCTATTTCTTTACCTCCCCCCACCCCCAAATTTAGGTTAGTGCCCTGCATTGACTCTTCATGCAGTAGTTCATGTGACATGTGGATCTAGTTATCAAGCAGTTCTACATGTGACATGTGGATCTAGTTACCAAGTAGTAGTAAGATTAATAATTTAGCTCTAATTTGCCCAGCTATGGTGAAAAAGAGTCTGTGGTGTGTTGGGATTTCAGGAACGCTCTTCAGTGCAAATGTTAATGATCCTTCCTGGTCATTTCTCTTTAATGGAAAGGAAATTGCAACTTCATTTTCTATTGTGAAGGTGAAATATATTCTAAAAGCAGTGGGAGCCTTGTCACTCACTTCAGGAGGGTAAAGATGGTGCCTGGCATCAGTATGTTCTTTATGTGCTCCATTCCTGCATTTCATATGTGCAAAAATAAAAATTATGCATACCTTTAGCAGCACCAAGTTGTTTTATTTTTCAAGAAATATTTCAAAATATACTGCTTCAGGGCTAGAATTCAATAGCCAAAGTTTAGTCTTAAGTCAGAATTTTTGGCTAAGTTATATACTTCAGAAAATACACATTTTTGTAAAAGGACACATAGGTATTAATTTTATTTATTCTCATGTGGATTTCTGGGCTGCTAGAGCTATTTGCAAGATTGCTTGTTTTCTAACTTTTCTTTATAGATTCTTCTGCTTATTTTGTCACGATTGTAAAATAGAAGTGTCTGTGTAGGTTTATAACAATCGGTATAGTCATCATTTGCTAAAATCCGTAGCACAAAACTGTTCAACTTACTCGAATGATTTTACAGCTTTTTCTTCTGGCAAAACAGGTTTCATCCCTGAATACTGCACAGCAGTAAGATGGTCAGCATTGCTAGAATTGCAGCACTATCTTATCTTTTGTAACAGTGTTATTCCAAAGTTGCAGAACTGTCTGAAGTTTCGATACGTAAGACTGACTTCAGTGTTGGCATTTTTTCAGGCTGATGTGCTTTAAGTGTTCTTTATTTTTCTGTATTTTAATTGAAAAAGAACAGAGAATGCTGCTGCAGCTGCAGAATACTGCTGCAGAGAATACTTCTGCAACTGCTAGAAGAACACAAGGATTTAAATGGTCAGCATAGTAATGCTTGACTGAGGTAGATATTAGTAAGACACTGCAAAAAATGCAATAAATCTGCTGGTACATTTCAAGACAATGGAATGAATTGCTAGTGGTTGGATGATGACCAGGGCCTTCCTGCAACTGTATTTCTGTGCTTCAAAAAGTGCCACTGGAAAATGAAAATGGTTCTCGTGGCTTCTTTGTCCTGCTTGACATCTCTGAAATTCTAGTTAGTGCCTCAGCTAAGCTTGGGGGAAACCCTCAAACTCTGAAATTATATCTTGTTCATTAAGATATTTAATTTCTATCTGAATATAGTTTTGGTTAGTTCATGAAATTTGATAAAAATAATTACATAATAGCTGAAAGTGATCTGTTAATATTTTTTTTCCTAGTATTTGTCTCAGCGTGTAAATTTGATAGTATGAGCTTAGATCCTGCAATATTTACTGTTGTTAATGTGGTAATTAAAATCTGACACTCACCGATGCTCATGTTTTTCCTTTAGGGAATCCCAATTTTTAGTGTTTTCAAACTCAAAGCAACCATCCTCTTTGAGCTGGTTTGTATGCAAGGAAATTAGATGGTATGAATTAAAATGTAAAAACATCATCTTCTGAAATGAATGTTAAATAATGAGTGTTTCATTCAGTGATTTATCAACATCACAGATTTCGTTAGTTTTCACAGGTTCTCTTCCATAATTTGGATAGAAGATCATGCTGTTAAGTATAGTGACAGGGCAAAATGAGGATGCTTCTAAAAATGATCAGCATAATGACTGCACAGGATTAAACAGGAATTAAACTACAAATGTTGTTGCTTAGGGAATTGTGTGAAGGGCAGTGATACTTGAATTTTTTTTTTGTATACTAATAACTCAAATTACTATTTTGACTTCTGTCCAAACACATGCAGATGTAATACCCTTGAATTTAAATGTTCAGGGAAAGCAAACTGATCTTCAGGATACAGAAATAGTTTGGTGTGCTCGGTAAGAAGAAGTTGATTTAGGTGAGAACATGAACAGTATTTCCAATTGGAAGTGTGTGTATGGGCTCCAGAATTAACTTGTGTAATACAAAATAGAGGTCAGTGTTTCCTTTAATAATGTGTGTAAGCAAGTTATTTGCTGTTCAGCATCAGCACTTGAGAAGAAATTTGAATAATGTGTTGAACAGCTGTAAGCAAAATTGCATTTGACTTGCTGTGTAACTCTCTTCATAGAGTCTGACTGAGAAACTGCTGAAGAAAGAACAGGACTACACCCAGCTAGAAGAAAAACATAATGAAGTATCTGTGAGTAAGAAGAATGTGCAGGCAAGTTTTCACCAGAAAGACCTGGACTGCCAACAGCTTCAGGCAAAGCTGTCTGCAGCTGAAGCTTCGATACAGAGATTACAGACAGAGCTAGGTGAGAAGGGAGAAGCAAGCCAGAAACTTAAAGAAGAGTTGTCTGAAGTAGAGACTAAGTACCAGCATCTTAAGGCAGAATGTAAACAGCTCCAGCAGCAGAGGGAAGAAAAAGAGCAGCATGGCCTGCAACTCCAAAGTGAACTCAGTCAGGTATGGTTCCTTAAGCCTCCTAGACTGTCCTGTTGGTATGGTGCCTTAAACCATCCCATTAGGGGTTTTTAAACTGTGCAAGCGTATTTTTCATGCTCATGCATTTGCATTTCCTTATTGAAGGGGAGTAACTAACCAGTACTTGTATTTCAATAAATGTAGAGCTAGCTGGTATTTCAATAAAGCATTCTTCCTGACACTGCAGAGAATGAAATGCAATCACCTCTTTTCCTTAGAGAAGTAAAGAAAAGAACTGGCAAAAAAAAGTTAAAAAATATAAAATGAGAGGCTATGATAAGAGTGCAGAAATTCTTTGGTATTTGTTTGTCTTTATGTCTGAATCTTTTTAGAAGGTCCATGCCCTGGATCTCTTCTTAAAACTATCTTTGTAATTTCAGTTTTGAATATTAAGGTTGAATGAGCATAAACTTTGTGGCTTACTTCTCATGTTCTTATTTTACTATTTTCGTATGTGAATAAAGAAGCCTTTAGCTGATTAGAGACAGGTTTTTTTTCCTCTACTCTTTTTCTCCTAAAGTGTTAAATGAACTCTTCCTTCATCCTACAACTTTTCCCCTCCCCTTTTTTTGTTGATGCATTGCCTGAAATAAGGGCAGTATTGTCAAATGAGAAGGCAACCCAGAAGACTGAGTTTCCATGACAAATATGGTAATAGACAAATCCTAAGATATCAGAAAGGTTATTTATCCTGGTTCAGTAAGGTAGCTGAAGCTATAATGAATTCAGCTTATGAGAAAAACAAATTCAGGTAGATTATCAGAAGTAGTTTCACTTCTAGTCATAATTTTACTACTCTGTAGGAGGCTTGAGAAAAGCCAGTCTTCGTTTTACATTAGAACTGAACAATGCTTTATTTGCTTTAAAATTGAATAGTGAATACAGTAGGGAATACTTAGTGTGAAAAGCAGGGTAAATGTGAAATCTTGATATTGCTTCCTTTGTGTCTCTCTACAAACACCTTCTCTTTATGTTCCTGATAGCTATGAGAACACCTAGGGCATACATCCCCCCACCATTTGTGTTGTTCTGCTGAGTCCAGTGAGTTACAGAAACAGGACTTTCATGTAACATTGAGCACACTGAAATTTGAGGCTGGTTGAACTCCATTTTATCTAAGTGTCTTTGGGAATAATGTGCTAGACTGGAGAAATATTTGTGCATTGGGAATCATGTCTAGTCCTAAGATGTTAAAAAAAAAATCTTTCTTTTTTTCTTTTTTCTTAGCGTAACTTCATTTTAATCTCTTGTGAAAGCTTTATAATTTTAAAGCAAGTGTTTCTCAATTTTCAAGCCTTTGTCAAGCCTGAAATAGATTAAGTTGTAAGCTGTGAGTGTAAAGTTTATCCTGGAAGAGTTGTGGCTTGGCAAAACTTCATTTATGTATGTATTACATCCTCAGAATGACTCTCCTTCTCCCATCAGTCTTCTGTCAGGGGGAGGGGAGATAATTATATTAGTTACCTGCTTAGAAATCCTCACTTGGTAAAACTGCCTCAGTCTGCCTAGGCAATATGTGTGCAAGCTTCAGAAGCTTAGCTGAGAGTTTGAGCTGAGATCTGGCTTCAGCCTGAGAAGGCATCTTCAGGAAGGGTATTTGGGGTGGGAAAATGAAAGAGAGAGAAGGTGAATAAAGCATTGCTGAATAAATTCCTACGAGAGGAAATGGAGACATCACACATTCTCTGGTGACACCATTGGGAAAGAAAACAATCTAAGCAAGAAAACCTGAACAAGCTGCTGGATCTCAGGATGTGTTCTAGAATTGTAAAAGAATAATGGAGGAAAAAAGCCTTTTCATACATGCTATAAAATAAAATTAAAGCCAAGCAAAACCTTCTCTTCCTCTCTCTCCCTTCAGACAAGGATTCAGTTACAATTGTCATGAAAAGACTAAATTTCTCACATTTGTTCATTTCATACTTTAATGGAATTTTCTGTTTTATGCATGTAGTCCAATAGCTTATGTTGACACAATGAATGCTGCTTACAAAGGGTAGCTGTTCAGTCAAACTACATTTTCAAAGAACCCTTGCCATCTTCTCAGAGTTCATTTGAACAGATGCAGAATTTGGGTGATGTGAAGGAAGTAATCTTCACAATTGAAGGAAATTTCAGTCATAATGTTGGTCTCAGTACAAGAATAGGAAGAGGGTAACACAATACAATATGGACTTCTTCAGTCTTGAAGAAATGTCAGTTGCTAATAAATACTGTTGTTGAGAAAATTTGAATCTACTTTATTGTATATTTGAGTCTTCAGTATTTTTTTATGATTTTTATATTCTGCAACATAGGTTAATCCTGGATTTTATGGTTCTATTTACTAAAGTCAATCTTAAAGTCCTTCAAAAATACTTAACTGTGTCTATAATAAAAGGGACTTTTATAAAATGTTGTTTGCCAATTTCTCCCTTTCCAAGTATTCTCTCCCAGTATCAACATAGCCATGAATAGTTCTAATAATTATCTTGCTGCACTCTTTCTTCATTAGATTTTTTCCTCCAACTCTTGTTCGTATTTTTAGTGAGGAAGAAGTATTAATACTTTAGTGATTCCTGTGGAAAAAGACAGATGTTCTGGGTCACTGGAGGAAGGATTATGGTCTTTTTCCTCACTCCATCCTCTCTCTTCTCCTACCTCTCTCTTAGCTGTGCAGTCACAGTTAGCAGTCAGCATCTTGGCCACATGCTGAACAGCTTTTCATTCACAGTTTTTGTGGCTGTGGAGATCTAAACAAATAATTTAGCTTGGTTTCCTAAGAAAATAAGGCCTAGGCACATTTGTTTCCTTGTCTTCATCCCCTGTAACTTTTATGTTGTTTGCTAACTTCAGCCAGATTTTGACAGGTGGCCTAAAGTTCTTCAGAGTTAGGTTCTTCAGTGTTAAATTCTTGTGGAAACAGGCAGCTGAGTAAAGGAGGGAGATTTATGTTCATGCCTCACCCCCTCAGTGCCTGGGGGGGAAGTTTTAATGTTATCAAAACCACTGATCCTTTTTCTGTCCTGCTAGGCACCCAGCTGGTCAACAAGTGGTGGCTTGCACTGAGCAGTAAGATTGTGCAGCCTTTTGCCTAGATACAAGTAGGAATTTGAGGAAAATGTGACAAGGGTTTAGGGATATTGAAGGGAGGACATAGAGTTAAAAAGTGAATGTTCAAGGGTTTGGACATAAATTCATAGGGAAGCAAGCTTTACTTATCCTGATACCCTGGGGAAAGTTCTGAATGTGTTCATGTAGAAGTAGGCAGGAGGTAAACCAGGACCTATAATGACAGTTTCAAGTAGAAGAAAAGCTGATTTTATGGAGAGAGCTCTCTAGAACAATGAGTTGTAAAAGGCTGTCTTTGCACTTTGAAGATGATGCAGTACTGCTTTTGATGACTGAAAAAATCATGAGGCAGGCTTATGTCCAGCTGGAAGAGCACAGCCCCTTACTCTCTGCTGCTGGAAGGTGCTGGATTGAAAGTCACTAAAGTTACTGCATACCGTACATTGAAGGTTTGGTGTCTCTTCTCTGCAGAAAATGAATGACATTGATGTAGCTAGGTCAAGCTAAATATTACACTCTTACTATCTAGCAATGCAGAACAGTATATTGTGGGAGCCAGAGGAGCAGGTAACGGCATGCTGCTTCAGCCACTGGATCTACAGGATTGAGAGTGTGTGCTGTATGAGCCAAGATAGCTCTAGGGGTCACTACTTTATATGATAGTCCATATGTCTTTGAAGGATTGCCCTCTTTGTCAGGATTCTTCTTGTAAATCTCTGTAACCCATACTGAAGGGCTTCTGTAGATAAATGATGTTTCTAGGTCCTACCAACCTACTTCTTTGAATATTTGTTCAAACTTATGCAGTTGCTGCTATTCTTTAACATGATTTGTGTTTCTGAGCTTTATGATGTATATCATGACTTTGGGAGCCCATGTAGTCGTTTTACTCTGGATTATGAAAACTTTGGGTTAACATTGCACAAAGGGAGTCTAAAATACAGTGTTGTTGGCTAAATAATGACTGAAGAACTCATGACTTTTTTCTTTTTGTAGTTGCACAGTAAACTTCTAGAAACAGAGAGGCAGCTAGGGGAAGTGCACGGGCGGCTCAAGGAACAGAGGCAGCTGTCTAGTGAGAAGCTGATGGACAAAGAGCAGCACGTGGCCGATCTGCAATTAAAACTTTCTCGTGCTGAAGAGCAGGTAGGGGCTTTTATGCAGACTGCACTTTGTTCTTGTTCTGACAGTCGCCTGTATACACACTTGTGGTGAAGTTGCAGTTTAGAAAGTTTGCCCTCATGGGGATTTCATTGACTAATGCTGTTAAAGGCTTATGGTAAAATTGTCAATATCTGCCTAAATGCCACTTGTGTTACAGATTTTCATAAGGCTAAATGCTTATCAGGTACATGTATGTTCATAGTACTTTGCAGATGAACAAAAGATGTGCATTTTACACTTATTGACCTTTGTCTTAGAATCTCATGAGAAGAAAACTTTGGTGCACCTAAACCCATGTGGGTAAAGTTTTGTATGTTGGTATTTTTATGAGATAAAGCCCTGTATAAAGGAAAAGTGAATATGGTGCAGCAGGTCATTGATAGTTAATAACCTGTGTGGGGTGGATGGGCACAAACCACTTCTTTTATTCATTTTCATTTGTTTTAAAGAGTGTCTTATATATGTTGCTGATTTTCTGCTGCCTGTATGGGGATTGGCCAAATATCTGAGTGGTACGTTGTCAAAGCTTTAAAGCTTTTCTGTAGGTAATTTGCAAAGCCTTCACCAGTATAGAAGTGGAGAGACTGCTAAACTGAAGTTGCTACTAAAACTGCTAATGAGAGTGATAATTATGTTGTTTTACAGATATCTGTATTATCAGTCATGTTACAGCTTAACAACTGTTGGAAAAAAACATATTAAATATCTTGTATGTTTTAGATTTTTGAGAGCTAAAATACATACATGTCTGAGATGTTTTATAGTTCTTACTTGTGATATAGGATCTCACTTATTAATAGTAATAAATGCTTTGGTTAGATTTTGATTCTTTAACTAGCATTACACACTTCTATTTTTATACTGTGTTTCGAAGATTGATTTTTAGACTAAAATCTTTAAGCATTACAAGGAACATGGAGCACTACTGGCTTACTTGATGGTGCTTGTTCTCTCATTAGTCTGGTTTGTCTGTTTTTTTGGTTTTGTTTTGGGTTTTTTTTTCAGCTGAAGGAAAAAGCAGCAAATTCCACAGAATTGCAACATCAGTTAGATAAGGCAAAACAGCAGCACCAGGAACAGCAGACACTTCAGCAAAATACTACAGCAAAACTACGAGAAGCTCAGGTACCAGTAGTTCTGTATCGTCATGTAAATGTGTATTTCAGGATTTTATTATTTTAAAGATGTTTTCTTTGTAATAGTGACTTGCATGACTTATACTAGTTTCATTAAATTAACTTGTACATCTAAAAGAGAATATACAGAAAGTGTTTAATAAATTTGTCCAACATTTTATGCATTAGGAATAACTTCTAAGGTCCTTATAACTAAGGAAGCTATTATGCAATTTTCTAGAATGATTTGGAGCAAGTACTGAGACAAATTGGAGATAAGGACCAAAAAATTCAAAATCTTGAGGCTTTGCTTCAGAAAAGCAAGGAAAACATCTCCCTGCTAGAAAAGGAAAGAGAGGACTTATACGCAAAAATTCAAGCTGGTGAAGGAGAAACTGCAGTTCTTAACCAGCTCCAGGAGAAAAATCATGCATTGCAAATACAGGTAAGAACTCGAAGACTTGCTTCTTTCCTTTCATTCTCATTACAGAATCCCGTTTCCTTTTTTTTTTCTATTTCATCAGATATGATGCTAAACTTTCTTGTATTTTGCTGTTTCTTTAACACTTTCTGTAAAGATCTTACTGTAAATTTCACATGACTTGTATTTTGTTGACTTCCTTGCTATTAGCATAAACAAAGGAATTCCTAGATGTTTCCTATGTACGTACCCTGCTAATATGTTCTTATAAATAATTTTTTGATACATGCACATTTCTCTTATTTTAAAAAGAGGTTTAATCCAGCTTTCAACACCAACACCAAAACTCAGTTTAGCCTGGATGTGTTGTCTCCTTAGTATTTTGGTTTTGTTACAGTAAGGCCAAACTGCTGATACCCTTTTGCTTCCATTTTCAACTGGTAACCTATTTAACCTTTGGTATTGTCTGCAATATAGCTTTACTGTAATAGTTCAGAAGAAGAAATGTGATAGTATTGAGTCTCTGAAACAATGATAAGACACGCTAGAATTCAAAAGATTTATGACTTCCTTGGACTTGCTGTTCCAGCCTTCTCTTCTTTTTTTCACTGCAGGTAACTCAGCTGACAGAGAAGCTGAAGAATCAATCAGAAAGTCATAAACAAGCGCAAGAGAATTTACATGAGCAAGTGCAGGAGCAGAAGGCGCATCTAAGAGCTGCTCAGGACCGTGTGCTTTCCCTAGAAGGAAATATCACTGAACTAACTAGCCAGCTAAATGAAAGTAAAGAGAAAGTATCACAACTTGATGTACAGGTAATAGGACTTTGTAGTGTCTGGTGATGATAAATTCTGCATGTGATTTCTGTATTCTTTCCAGAGAATGTACAAAGTCATTTGGGAAAAAATTTGATGTTTCTGCTAACAGATAAATGAAGTAGAATAAGGCGGATAAAATTGAGGAAAATGTAAGTGGATTTGGAATAATAATAGATGGCAAGAGTGGCAAGTGTTTATTTGTTTATTTTGGGTTTTTTGGGGGGTCTGCATTGGTTTTTTGTTTTTTTTTTGGTTGATTGGTTGGTTTTGTTTTTTTAAATTAAAAAAAACCCAGAGTTCATACTTGTGTTGGGAAAAATCTGTCTTCTAGCATCTCATCTTATATTTGTTACAATTAGCTGTCCAAATCCCTGCTCTTATTAGTCCTGGGTTGCATGCACCAGAGTGAAAGTCTTTTAAGTCACGAAGATATTGTTTTTGCCTAGAAATTTCCTATGCTGGTGTCTTTAGTCAAAAACAAAACAAAAAAGCTGCAGGACACCTCGTTGTCAATTTAATTTACTAAACAAGGAAATTCCCTAGTATGGACTCTGTGTGGACTCTCCTAAGTGCTAAGTTCTTTTTAAGCTAAAAAGCTTAAAAAACAAAAAGTGTTTAATCAAAAATTCTTGCATTGGTACACTTGGAGCAGCTAGTACTGTTGTGCTTGGTTTAATACACTCTAGTGTCTTTTGTATTAGTGTTACTCAGTTTCCAAACAGGTCTAGGAACTTCTTCCAGTGTAGCTTTGTGCCGTATTTACTAGGCTTCACTGCACTATCATCTGGGCTGTTTTTTCTATAATCTATGCACTGTTGCAGCTGCTTTTTAAGGTAATGTGAGCTTCCTTACAGCCTTCAGAGAGGTAGCTTTTCTAGTAGGCAGAAAAATAGTAAACCACAAGAGCAGGTGAACCTGAATATTGCCATTTTGCTCCAACACCAGTCATACTCACCTTCAAAATTTTGTTTAATGGGTGTTTTGGAATGAAGGGAGATTGCTCCCAAGCAGGCAGGTAGAAGCAGAGATAGCATACATGTGGAAGCATACTTTTTTTGTTTCTTATTCTTTTTGCTTTTAAAAGTTTTAGAGATTTGAAGGCCATGTAATGTGCATGTAGTCTGAGGTTACATTCAAGGTATGCATAGGTGTGAATGCAGTAAGTATATATCCCATTATTCCTTGTTAGTAAGTAAAGGTAAGAACTCTGTGGCTTAAAATCCTAATATTGGTCTAAACCTTGAAAAGACTTTTCCTTTTTTGTTCATACTAGCACATAAAACCTACTGATCTTACTATTAAACTTACTGATGAGTATAAGGAAATTTAACATGAGCCATGGTAAAATAGATGTTGTACTGAAATACAACTTCTCTTTCAGGTAAAAGCAAAGACTGAATTGCTACTTTCAGCAGAAGCATCTAAAGCTGCTCAAAGAGCAGATCTTCAGAATCACCTGGACACTGCCCAGCATGCACTGCAAGATAAACAACAGGTTATAAGCAACATAAAAACTTTCTCTGTTACTGAAAAAAACTACTTAAACCCCCAAGAATAGTGTTTACCAACGGAATAAACATGTGAATATGCATTTGTTGCATATAGATTTGTTGGGGGAGGAGGGTACTGATCCATCCCAGCACTACCAGCTGGTTGCAAGCTCCTGTCATGAATGCTCAGAGCAATGCAAAGCTACTTCATCTGCTCCAGCCAATGAGTTGACTTTAATTGGAGCTTAGCTCAGATGCCTCTATACAAAGGAGGATGATAAGGGGGCTGGAGCACCTCCCATATGATGACAGGCTGAGAAAGTTGGGGCAGTTCAGCCTGGAGAAGAGAAGCCTGCATGAAGACCTCATAGCAGCCTTCCAGTATCTGAAGGGGGCCTACAAGGATGCCAGAGAGGGACTCTTTATCAGGGAGTGTACTGATAGGACAAGGGGCAATGGGTTCAAACTTAGGCAGAGGAAGTTCAGGTTAGATATAAGGAAGAAGTTCTTCACTGTGAGGGTGGTGAGGCACTGGAACAGGTTGCCCAGAGAAGTGTTAAATGCTCCATCCCTGGCAGTGTTCAATGCCAGGCTGGACAGAGCCTTGGGCGACATGGTCTAGGGTGAGTCGTCCCTGCCCATGGCAAGAGGGTTGGAACCAGATGATCTTAAGGTTCTTTCCAACCCTGTTTTATGATTCTATGATTTGGAAATAATATTTAGGATATTTTAACCATGTGATATGTATTTAGTTCTTTTTGCTGTCATCTGGACGAGATATATTTTGTAGTATGAAGAATTTACTTGTATTTTGTAGTATAAAGAATCCACTCTTTGCTGTGGAAAATGGTTCAGAATCAAAGCTGTCCTATTGGGTGTAATTCAATACAAAGACTGCTGCTAAAATTGCATGTTTCAATGTATATTAATCCTAGTGATGCATTCCACTGACTGCTGAATCAAGTATTTGCATTGTTAGAATCAGTGCTGCTGTGGTCTTCATGGAAACACCCAGCAGATGCTAACATTTTTTTATATATGTGTGTAACACCATTTTTTTAGCGTGGGAATGTAATTAATTGCTGTAAGCAGAACACCTTTTTTTCCCCCCAACTCTTAAATCATTAATAGACAAATCAGCTTGGTTGGAAAGCAATGAGCTTTGATGCAGCTGTCATTATAGTAGTTACTAGGTGAATGTGTTCATGTTTCTCGCAGAAATTAAGTTGTGTTGAACCAAATGGTTTAAAATCATCTCTGGTATGTGGAAAATTGACTCCACATGGTACTGGCTTTCCTTTTTGGTGGTGCTTGATTTCATGAAGACAGCAAAAAATTTCTCTAGGGTTTTGTAGTGTTACTTTCTAATTACTGGTCTATTAACTGCAGGATCTAGTGCATTTATTACCTACAATTCCTCTTCCATTTATAACTTCAAACACCTTTGTTAAGATTTAGATCACAGCCTGTAAAGTTTGAGAGGAATAGTGAGGCTTTAAAAAAAATTTTGTCAGTTTAACAGAGAGAATTTGTGCACATGCTTGTGTTTCTCTTCTCAATTTCCTGTCCCTCAGAATAAAAAGGAAACATTATTTTCCTTTTTAATTGGAACACATTACAGCATTTAAATCATACATGACATTAGTAATTTTTTGAAGTTATTTAAAAACTAACAACTGTCATATTTTTATTTTACCTCAGGAGTTAAATAAGGTCAGCGTTCAGCTGGATCAAGTTACAGCTAAGCTGAATGACAAGCAGGAGTACTGTGCTCAGCTGGAAGCCAATCTGAAAGAGTACAAAGAGAAAAGTCTTTATTTAGAACAGAAAACTGAAGACCTAGAGGGACAGCTTAAGGTTTGTACTGAACACAGGATCTGAGCTTACAAAAACTGATGTTCTCCACTGTTTGGTAGTATGTGATAAAAGATGTGCTCAAATTAGGGGGGAAGGTTTATATCAATACCACTTTTGTAGGTTTTCTTTTTCACTTGCATTTCCTGATCTACCATTTAATCCTATTCTCCTCTTCTTCCATGCTAGCTTATCACATTAAGAAGATAGGCTTAGGACATTGCCACTATACTGCCATTTTCCTGTACATGTGCTTCTACCAACCTCTGTGCTACCTGGAAGTGTTACTATGAGAGGGAATATGAATATATCCCAAAATTATACTTTTCAGGTTTACAGTTATACTCTTTGCAAGTGGTAATAGGGAATATGTGTTACATTGGTTAGTCCAAGTTAACACTACCTCTCTGGTTTGTTTATTTCCAAAGCATTTCAGTAGGTTTCTATAGAGGCTGTTAATCAAGATTTATTTATTGGTGTTATTCTTCTAACAACTTGATCTTGAGTTTTGCATTCCAGTTCTGGAATGAGTTTTTCTTTTAAAGTGCAAATAATTCTGGCAGGAGGTCTGCAGAATCTTTTGGTGTTTGGAGATACTAGTATTTTCAGTTAAGGATATGAATTAGTCCTAATGCTTGAGAGCTTTTAAATTTGAACTTTGTTCAATATTTGTTAAAAATTTTGGTAGTCAAAATTCACAGTACATAAAAGCATATGGTACAGGGTTTTGGGAGCAATGCAAAATTGCTTTTACAGCATTGTCTATTTTGAGGAGGATTAGCAGTCTCTATGATCAAGACTGAGCGTAGAGGTTTTAGTATCTTATGTGCTCTATAGAAGAGAAGGAAGATTGTTTTCCTCAGAAGAAATTTTAATCCAATGCTATTAAAAATAAAGCTGTCATTCATTGCATTATCAGCATAGTTATTTTGTGCTTCCATCACTCTCTTCTTTCTCACACTGGTTTTTTTTTCCTGCTTACTTTGATTTGTGTTTTTATTTCTTATCCTATTGCAAAAGTTTCACAAATAACGAACAGACAAAATGCTTGGGAGAAATACAGTGCTTGCTTGCACAAGATTTTATGAAGTTCTTGGTAGATGAAGTGTGAAACTGAGCAGGGCTGTTGATGCTGTCAAGAGGAATGCAAGTCTTTGTGAAATCTCGGCGTCATTGCCATTCTTTGGGATTATTCCAGTTGAATGCATGGTATTTAAAAAAAGTAGAAAACAAAAAGCCCTCAGGAATTTTCATGGAAAAACTTGGCCATTTTGTTTTATGGCCACTGTGTGAAGGCAGAAGTGCCTGTAAAACAGCCAGTGTATTGAAGAGTCTAAGCAGTGCCCATTTGTTGAAGACTCCTGTGTTCTTTTATACTCCAAGTAAATGAAAAAGTACTTCAGAAAGCCCCCAAACAACCCAAAGAAACCACTCTCCTACACTCCCCCAAACAACTAGAATCAAAGCCAAAATCCCCAAGAAACCAAGAAAAACCTCTTCCAGGTGAGCGTAGGATTTCTTCACCAATGTAGTTCGTGTCTTTGTTTCTGTCATAAAGAATAGCAGAGTTCTTGGGATATGTGAAAGAGCAGTCATTTGAAACTGCTGAAACTACTCAGTGGTGGATGGGAACATGGCCCCAGAGCTGAGCCCTGTGTATGACTTTTTTTTTGTATAGGTGTTTTAAATAATTTCTTTAAAGATAACTGCTTTTTATGTATTACTTTGCAGTAAAATGGCTGCTTGGCCTTTAATTTAAAGATTATTTCAAATGTTTTACCAAAATAGTTCAGTTCTGGAGGAACAAGAGGTTTGCAGGAACTAAATAATGAAAGACAAATAGCAAACTAATGAAATAGGTAGACAATGTGTGAGAACTGTAACTGCTTTCTACAGTGAAGACTTTCTACAATAAATGCTGCTCTCAGACTAGATGACTTCTGCCTTTTTACTGCTATTTTGATTTTGTTGGTTGATTTCTGGTAACTCTAACTTTTTATTTTTCTATATCAGAAACTTGAAGCTGACCTACTTGATGCTAAAGCAAGCAAAGAACAAGCTCTTCAGGAGTTACAGCAGCAGCGACAGCAATCCACAGAATTAGACCTCCGAACAACAGAACTGAGTAAACAACTTGAAGCAGCAAGAGAAGCGTATGCATTTCCTGTGTTGTAGTGCTTTTCCAAGTCAGACATAGAACTAGAGTGGTTTAGACTGGTGCTGAAATTTTGTTTTTCTCTGCTCTGATTTCTGAAAATCATAGATAAGTGATCTGTTCCCTTTGCTACAAGAACTGAATTTTATCCCACCTGTTTTCTTTCACTCTATGCCATGCAGACTGCATCTGCCATGTTGTCTCCTGTGAATCACTGACTGCTTTGATTCAATACACTTCGTCAGTGCATTCACTGTGCTTATTGTCAGCTATCTAAACATTAGATATCTAAACACTGAGGTCCATCTGTAAGTATCCATATCTCTGTAACTTTTTTCAAGGACTAATTTGCAATTTATGCATAAACAGCAAAGGAGTAGTTTCTGCTTATGATAGTTGAGGAAGAAAAATCCATCTCAAAATAGTTTTCAGAGTTGCTGGTATGTCTTCCTCAGAGGGACAAAATGCTTATGCTCCGGGTGAAGGAGGTATACTTTGAAGTAGTTCTACAGTTAATATATTAAATAATAGAGATATTTAATGATACAAAAGAGCTGTGAAGAAGAATTTTAAAAAGAAGATTATGTTTCTCTTTGTATTTGCAGGATGTCTAATACTAAATTGGATTTGCAGAAGAAGTCCGAGGCCCTTGAACAAGCGAAAAAGCAAATTTCAAAGCAGGAGGAGGAGAAGGCCAGCCTCAAACAAAACCTTGAGAAATCAAATCAAGATACTAGTAAACAACTTAAAGAATTAGATTGTAAAATGCAAGCAGCAGCATCAGAGCTGCAACAAGTGAAATCAGAGAAGGATGCTCTAATAAAGGACCTTACAGCTACCAAAGACAAGCTCTCAAAAAGTTCTGAATCCTTCAAAAAAAGAAAGGAAGAATTAGAAAAAGAAGTACAAAAAGGAAAAGCAGCTGTGGCAGAAATGGTTAGTAGTTTCTTTCATTAGACATTAAGTTTGGTGAATTTACAGTCTGATAAAATGATTTGGCTTTCCGTCTGCAAACAGTATATACAATGACAATGCACGGACATTAATTGCCTTAAGGAAAACAAATTGTGATTTTTAGTAATTCATATATGTGTCCTATTTTAAAATTTTGTCTGGATATTCACAGTAGTAAACATCACACACCATGATCCCTTTTTCTTGCCACATGCCTTTAATGTGGTGAAGAAACTTAAATGGAGACAAGCAGTGAAACAATTTGGTGGGAAATGTCCCCCTTTTAAAAAGTACATAGCCTTATTATAGCAGCACAAAGTTATAAACCCTTTGCTAAACTGCCACCATATTGAAAAATAATTTATTTTGCTAAGGCCATATTAGCTTAATTTCTGGAGTCTTTGTATATACAACCTTCCTGTGCACTTGACTGGGCATGCTGGAAGGCCGTGTACAGCAGGCAGAGTAACATCATCTGTTGTTGGGGGAGAGGCCTAGCTTAAGGTATTATCAGGGTACTAGAACTGTTTAAGTTTCATAAAGGTTTCACAAGTGATATTATAACAAGTGCTTGACCACCTGAGCAACCTATTATGGTAAAGAAAGTGAACTCTAACTAGCCTTAAAATATGCCTTTTCCTTCCCTCGCTTGCTTTGTTGGTAATATGAGTGGGCACTGTATGAATATATATTTTATAGATTTTCTTACGCAGTTGTTCTGACACCCCTGCCTCAGACATAGTAGGGGTGTCTTTCTCATTCCCTTCTCATCTTACATGTCACCATTTCCCAGAACTCGTTCAGAGCTGCTTTTATTCTGTTCCAAAAAAAAAATCCTGCTCCTAGTTAAAAATAACTTTTTCCTTTACTCTTTCACTTTTTTCAGATAAGCCTTTTTCTTTGCTTTACTTAGTTACTGCTGTTTAAGTATTTGTTTCTCCTAAAAACTTGAAGGATTTTCTCCCCAATTTAGACTTAAAGATAGGAGTCCAGATTCTGCTTCTAATTCTGTAGTCATTTGGAGGCTTGCCACTGTCTTAAGTGCATAATATTTGGGCTTAAAATGTATTCATATATGAATACAACTCCCTCAAATGTACTTTGCTAATGAGTTTTAGAATATCAAGAAATTCTGAATCCTGAGGAGAGTGATGAACCTACAGCTTCCCACAAGAAGAAGGGCTGCCAACAGCAGCTTCAAAGAGGGGGACTATATCTAATTGGAAAAACTCATCAGCACATAACTGAGTTTGTTAGTATCAGCTGTGTTCAGCTTAGCGTTACCACTGTTAAAGTTTTGAAGACTTTTGAGCTGAAAATATGTCTGCAGCTGAGAAGGAAAGCTCTTTCACTGGAAAGGAAAGCATTATTTTTGAAGACTTTGTAGATCCTGCAGAAATATCGGATAACTGCCTTAGAAGTTCACATGAGTATTTCCTTGTCTTACCTTTTTTAGGAAAAATCTTGCCAAGAATTAAAACAGCAGCTCCAGGTGCAAACAGAGTCTGTAGCTAAAGAGAGGAATGAATTGAAAAACTCACTGGAAAAAAAGGAGGGGGTAAGCTGTCTGCATAGTTTCAAAAATCCAGAAATCAGTAATAAAAAGTGTTTAAAAGATTAATTTTCAGTCTCACATGCTGGGCCTGATGAGAGATGAAGAGGTTGCAGTTCTCAAATTATAACCTACCAGGGGCACTGAATTAAGGTGATGCTAAAATTTCCTAGATGATAATATGAAGCTTTAAAATACAAGTTTTAGTCCTACTTTTCTGTGCCCCACAAATCTTAGCTGTGGGGATTTTAGAACCCTTCAGCATTAGTGAAACAGTTACTTGGTATTACTATGTCCTAATTTTTTTTCATACTTTCATAAAAATATTGATTTACATTTAAATTATATACAGTTATTTAATATTTTTGAATATAGATTTCTAAGCAGTTGTCGATAGAACTTGATGCAGCAAGAACACAAGTACTGGAAATTCAGGGTCTTCTGAAGGAGAAAGAAAAAAGTGAGCAACATCTCCAGGGAAGGCTGAGAGAGTTAAAGGAATCTTTTGAGCAAAAGAAAAAGCACAGTGAGATACTGCAAGCTGAATTAAAAATTGCCCTTTTAGAAAAGGTAAGACTGGCCTCTCTTACTCCTATAAGAGCTTTTATTTCAGTGTCTTTATGATAAACAGCTGTTCATTGTAGTAGATCAGGTCAGGATGTGGAAACAAGGTCTTCAGGTGCTGTTGGAGAACCAAACAACAACATCAACAGTAATAAAGGAAGAAAAACCAGCATTGATATATGAATTTGGTAGGAATTGAGTTTCAATAAAGTGATAAAAATTACTAGATTGAATGCATTTATCTTGCTTCATGAGCATGCTATAAAGCAAAAGCTGGCATTTTCTGTAAAGCAGTAGAATTCTGTGAGAGTAGTTTAGACAAACTCTACAGTGTTTTGGAACTTCCATGACAGTTTTAAATCAAGTATTCTCTTATTATACCAAAAGAATTTATGAGTGACAGTATGAAACTCATAAACCATAACGGAAAGAGTTCAGATGTCTTACAGTGTTAGGAAGTGTTGCGTTCTTTGCCATGCACTGTTAAATGTTGCTGAAGTTTTGGCTGCTCTGTGCTATATGATCATATTTAGTCAGTCTACGGAAACTTTAGGATTTAGGACTTGGTGTCATGGTTTAACCCCAGCCAGCAACTAAGCACCACACAGCTTCTTGCTCACTCCCCTGTGGTGTGATGGGGGAGAGAAATGGAAGGGTAAAAATGCAAAAAATCATGGTTGAGATAACAGCAGTTATCTGCCATGTGGTCTGGAATATCCCTATGTTCAGCTGGGGTCAGCTGTCCCAGCTGTGTCCCCTCCCAGCTCCTTGTGCACCCCCAGCCTACTCGCTGGTGGGGTGGTGTCAGAGGCAGAAAAGGCCTTGACTCTGTGTGAGCACTGCTCAGCAATAGCTAAAACATCCCTGTATTATCAACACTGTTTTCAGCACAAATCTGAAACATAGTAGATACCGTGAAGAAAATTATCACAGCCACAACCAGCCCACTTGAAAACATTATTAAGATTTTTAATGTTTGGTTTTAATGTGTTTCACTTAGTCTTTTGACATGAATTAAATTTTGCTGTTAAATTACTTACAAAATATTACTGTAAAATCACAAATATCAGATTAATGAACTGCTGTTTTGTAAGTGGAAAAAAACCTTGTCTTGCAGTAGAAATGCAGTTGATCAAAATGATTAAACTTATTTTACTGACTGTAACTCTAATTGAAACTTCCTATGCTTATGTTTCAGGCAGAACTGGAGAATAAGCTGCAACAGCAGTCTATTTTGTCAGCACAGGAGCTTAAAGCAGAGAAAGTCAAGCTAGCAGACTTACAGAAGAGCCATGAAAAGCATAAGGAAAACATGGAGAAGCTGCAGCTGGACCTTTATGGGAACGAGTCCGAGCTGCTGGCAACAAGGCAAGACCTTAAGGTACTTACAGTCATTTTAGTGTTCATACATGATTTAGTAGATCTGTTTATATACATTTTGAAGATCAAGAAACGGTGCAAGAACAGAATAGGCGGAAAAAAGTTTTTCTGCTTACGTGTGGAATTTAGTGCTGTTCAATCCCTTCCCCTGGGACAGAGGACATCCTGAAACTAATTCAAAGCCAAGCATATTTGCCAGTTTACCTGAAATACCCTTGCACTTGTGCAGCAGCAAAGTGAAAGATGATTTATTTTTGTATTCTTTTAAGAGTTAATTTTTCAAGTTGCTCTTTCTTGTTACATATTGTAGCTCTCAGTTAATTTGAACAGCATAGCTAATTAGGGCAAAGTCTGCCAGCATGTGAGTAACTGCTATCTTCTAGATGATTTAATTAGAATTTTAGTTGTCAGTCTTTTCCCATGCCCTTGCCCCTTCCTTCTTGGCCAGCTGTAGATGTTCAGAGATGTCAAGCTAATAGAAATGGCAGGTTTAGGGACCTGCCTGCAATACAAGTGTCTGAACTTCGTTTTTGAAGTTTTTACTGTTCCTAAGCTGAATTATCTGGTTTGATATTAGGGTGTAGTGCCTTCAAAGAGGTATTGCTGTGAGTTGAGTCATTCAGCAAAGGTGTTTTTTGTCCTTTGTTTCTGCCTCCTTTCTTCATGTCGCTGCTAAGCCAACATTCCAGTTAGTTCCAGCACATACTGTGCTGCAGGGACTGGCTGTCTGCTGGCAAGATCTGTAGCTTCATCACTTTTCGTTTCAGATGAATCCCACTGCACCTTTGTCTGTGTGTGTCTGACACTTGTTCTGGGCTTTTCTGAAATTTATGGAGAGAACTAGGCACTTCAGGAGGATGGATCATCTGATCTGTTTTAGATGTCAGCTTCTGATTGCTTCATTATGTATATGTCTTTGATGGCTTAGATTTCATCACTCCCTTTCACCTGTCCCAGTGGGGGCCTTTCAATCCCACCACTGAAATTGTTAAAGGTCTTGTGGCCATTTCAGATAGGCCCACGTGAGCTGTGGAGGCCTTGCCAAACTCCAGGTTCAGGGTTGTTTTAAGAAAAAGAGAAATAACTCCCTTAAACATAGGCCACTGGAGTTTTACTTATCTTCCTCCTCCTCTGTAGCATTAGATTACCTGCCACATTTCCCTGCAGGTTACAGAGGCTTTACTTTCCATGTAGCTTGGTTGAATTGCTGTGTTAAATTGTGAAGAACTTCAGCTTGATTAACAAGCAACAGTGGTTTAAACAAGCTCTTTCTTACAGTTAGTTACTATAGCACACATATCTCTGTGTGCTAATTTCCTGCAAGGTACTTAGATCAACATTTGGTGATGCAATGACCTGTAAAAGCATTGGATGTGCTCAGTTAACTGGCTTTCTTTTTGGTATAGTTTTCATTTAAGTATCACCTGTTGCAAAAATAGCTCTGAATAAGTATTATTGAACCAGCTTGATGACCTCTAGTTCTGACAAGTACAAAATAGGACAGTAGGCATTCCACATGCTTTTAAACTTGAATGTGGGTGGTAGCAAAAGAGAAAGATAGAACATCCATGCAGAAAGGTAAAATGAGGTGATGGCAATGGGAAAACAAGATTTTCAAGAAGAGCAGTCAGGTAACTTGATTTATTATGTAAGTCTCTGTTGAGCCTAAAGGGCCTGAGGAAGGTTGAGGTCCTCAGTACTGAAGTAATGTACCAACTTGGAGGCTGTTTTGCTGTTTTATTAAAAAAATAAAAGAAAATAATTAAAAAACATATATTACGATTAGTGAGGTCTGCTTGCCACCACTTTTTAATCTGATATGTAGAAGAGGGAGAAGGTGTGGAACTGACCTTTAATTGTGGTTGTGCTGCCTCATTGCAATCTTAGCCTAAAGAACCAGTGATAACTTTTCTTAGGAGGCCTCAAAGGAAAAAGCACATTGGGATAGCCTCAGCATGATAATGTGAGTCTTGAGATTCGAACATCAAAATGCCACTTAAGTCAGAAGAACTTTATGACAGAGTTTCACAGTCCAGTTCAAAATTGTTTGTCTGGATGATGTTTTGCCTTGAATAAGTTACTTAATAAAAGTATATAATCTGAGCAAGAGCTATGGATTTTGATTAAAGTTTACAACCACAGCTGATGGGTAGGCTGGGGTTCAGAGTGATCTGAATTTTATTAGTAGGCAGTAGTACAAGTTTTTAAAACTTGTATTCAAGGTGAGCTTGGGTATCCTTCAGTGCAGGATTGTTCTGAATGGGGCTTTGAGCAACCTGGTCTAGTGGAAGGTGTCCCTGCTGGCTGGAACTAGATGATCTTTAAGGTCCTTTCCAACCCAAACCATTCTTTGATTTTTAATAGAGATACAAACCCCCTGCACAGCTGTGCTGAGTCAGCAGGGTTTGAAGTCCTGCTGTGTCCAGGACTGGCACGACCAGGCTGTATCGTGAGATCCTAGCAAAGGTAGGTTTTCTTTAGTTAAAAATACTACAAGGGAAAACAAATATTCTCACGTGGTGTAGCACCATGCTGTTGCTGAGGCCAGGGTTTCAGTGTGGGGATAGATCATAAAAGGTTGTACAGGGAATGGATGGCATGAGTACGGTGGTAGGTCTAGATCCTCACAGGAGATGGAGGGAGTCGGGCCGTACACAGAGCACCATCTGGTGGCGTCTTCTCGGAATGTCACTGCTGGGATCGCTGGCTCATCTCCGGCTGGGATTCTGAGGTGTGATTGAGAAGTAAGCAAATGTTTCAGATACAGCATTGCATGGGAGACAGATGCAGTGGGCAGCTGCTCCCTGGAGTGCCACCAGCACGGCTGGGTCCCAGTTTGTGGTTCAGTAACAGACGGTCCTTGCTATGGAGCTGTAGCCAGATGCAAGCTTTGAAGCTGTAAGCTTGCAGAGGAAAAGTGAGTGTGTTGTAACAAAATCAGAAGTGAGAACATAGTTATGATGTTATGGATACTATTTGTTGCAAGTTTACTTTGGTATAAATTACCACCTGTAGCAGTAACTACTTTCATACATTTTTGTCTCTGTGACTGGAGAAAGAAATCGGATAGGATTTGAGTGCTTGTAAAAGCTATAGTTTTTGATACATATAATAAAGAATAGCACCAAAGATCATTTGTGTGTATAGATACACATACATATATACATGTGTGTATATATGATATATACATATTTTTGCATGCACACACACAGGGAATATTTTTCTTTTTTGTCGAAAAGGTATTTTTTGTATAGAAGGGTTAATAAAAATGCCGAACTGTTATTTTTGCCTTGATTTTGAGTTCATGCAAACATACTTTGTTGAATCCTTCTCTCCTGAGCTCTGCCAAGTATCTTTCAGTCTTGGCATTTGTGCTCTTTGTAGTCAGCCCTGGTTTCCTCTATGTTCTCTAAAGAATGTTTCTTTGCTTCCAATATTGGCATCTCTGTCAGCGTATCTTCAGTGGACATTCTGGGACAATATTCATGGTGCCAAACCTCAGGCCTGTAAGTCAAGAGTGTAAGTTGCCTATTGTCAGTGTAATCCTTCTTCTTAGGAGGTGAAGAGAGATCAGGTTAGCATCTGTGAATAATTTCATGTCTCTTCTTGTGGACTAGGATCAGGGAGCACACAGACTAAAATGCTCATTTTTGTGCACCTCACTTAGGTGGAATGAATCCACGACTTACCGCCCAGCCCAGCCTAGTTCTGCTGTTGGCACTATAATCTACACTGCAACAGACCAAGTTGTAGTGAATCAGACTGTGATATCTTCTTATCTTTTTATTTATTTAAACTCTGTACCAGTCATCCTAGCATCTGGTTTTATTAGCAAAAATAAGTACAGATTGACATCTTTTGTTCTGTACCTTTTCCTTGGACTCAGTTTTGTCTGTCATCGTGAAGAGCAGTCTCATGACTAAGGGTAACTTGTTGGCAGAATATCTGTCATATTGTGGAAGCAATGGCAAAACTGAATGGTAATTAAATAAGGTAAATGGCATCAGTTTTTTTGAGAGGTGGTTTTATGTTAAAGGTACGATCTCCTCAGCAGTCAAAAAAAAAAAAAAATGAGGCTTAATTGCTGTCTTAGTGAAGACTGGGCCAGGAACAAGGATAATAACTGGAATGTTTAAACATGTGCCAGAGGATTTCTGCTCATTTCCAAAGGATTCTGTGAAGGACTTTTTGCAAGGCAGAAAGAAAGGCATGGGCAGATAGAAGGTTGATTTACTGTTAAAATTACATTGGGTGGTTTCTCAGTATTGTTATTAGTCACAGCACAATTAAGAGGCACTTACTTACACATGTAAGCTATAGTATGCAAAATTCCAAACCTCTTATGTTAAAAACTACTGAATTACAGAAATGTTTGTGGATAATACAGTGCAGAATAGGCCAAATACTGGTTCCCCTTATAAGAAGATTTACGTTGTCTTAAGTGTAGGTACAGACAGTGAGATAGCCTGTATGGCATAGACATTTTGGGGAGAGGGAGAGTGAGAGAGGAGTATTCCCTGTGTGAAGCTTTTAATTTGTGCATCACTATCCACTTCATCAAATTTTATCATCCTGTGCTAACAAATTGGATGTAACCACATTTGCTACTGGAAACAAATTTGAATAAAAGCTGTGGCTTCATTATGTTTCTTTCTAAAGCTGCAGAGACTGTTGGCTTTGCCTGTGAAAATGTTACATGATGATGCTATGCTTCTCATCCTTTCTCACTGTTAGGAAAATACTGTACTCCACTGCCCACAGTGGAGCAGAGAAGGATGGTTTTGCTTTCTGAAAGACCCACTCTGCTGAAAGCTTGAAATTGCAGAAACACTTTCCGTTTTGCTTAAAAATAATTCTGAGTTAACACCTCGCTACGTGTTAAGTAGTGAACACTAATAACTCAGAAAGCAAATAAAGTCATTTGTCTGCAAATTAATTTTAAAAGCCAATGTATGTGAGCTTTTTAAGTCCCACTGAGATTGTTGAAAATGCAATTGAATCAGCAGTGTTCCATCTTTGATGTTTCAAATTGTGTCTGACTCTACAGGCAAAATACTTTAGACATTTCAAGGGAGGGTTAGGGAGGCATCAGAAATCAATCTGGGTTTAAATCAACACAGGAGAGGGTAAAGTATATCCATAATTACATGAAGTCAAAGTTGTGCTTATTGTTCGTTTTAAAATAACTAACTTTCAGCAAGAGGTTTGATTACGATTTAAGTAAGAGCTTAAAAAAGAATTTAGTATATCCTGAAAGGATTTAAATCCTTCTGGTGCACTGAAGGTAATAAACTTATCACTAATAATAAATCTCCTCACATTCTGCATAATTGAAGCATCAAAAATTTCCATAAACCAACAATATTTTGGAGGAGTGGAGGATGAGTTTGGTATTTTTCTTTCTTATTGGTTCCTTATGAAAGAACATGCTTCTAAGCAGAGCTAGTTCTTCCCTAAGCAGGAGGCTTAAAAAATATAACCTCCAGAATATTAAGTCAAGCAGAATCCCAAAATTTGACTTTGCTGTGAGCAAATAGAACGAGTCATGGGTGCAAGTTTTAGGTTGTTTCTTGGGGTTTTGTATAGAGAGATAAATCGAAGTTCTTTTCCTAGGTAATGGAGAGAGTCGAAGGCAAATGAAAATATAATCTGCAGTGGATTTTGAATGGAAGTTTAAATTTTGTGTTAAATGCTGATGCAGCTGAGACTGAAATTTTTTATCCTGATATTAGCATTTTTAGCTTGTACATTTCATTTTAGCATTTTAAAACAAATTTCAATTGTCCTAACACTAGCTTCACTAAAAGTCATTGGTAAAAAATAGCTTTGAATGGCTTATGAAATCTTCGAAAGTATAGCTTCACTGCCGCTTAAGTAACAACTGTCAGAGTTACAGATTACTTGATTTGGCCAGAGAACAGAATAAATTAGTGTGAGCAAATTCAAATATGTCCTCTTTTCATCAGTTTCCTTTCATTCTCTGCCTTTATGTATGTTTTCACCTTTTCTCTGTGGAAAGATGCAAGATGGAATATGTACAGTAAGGTATCGCTGGTGGAAATGGTACTGGGATAGTTTCTTTTGTTTCGGGTAACCTTGTAACCTGGAAGTTTCTGTCAACATTTGAAGCTAAGTGTTGCATGCTAGGTAACAGTTTTTCCATGTGGAAAAACTTCAAATACTTGAGTATGTGAAGCTCTTACACTGACAGATAATTTACAGAACTCTGTTTGTAATTAGTCCACAGAAGAAAAACTTGCTCTAGCTCAAGAAGAGTTAGTTTCCAGCAGAAATCGAATTGCTAGCAATAATCAGCAGATTCAGGAACTGAAGAAAGCAAAGTCTACACTGGAGCAGGATGCATCAAAGAAAGAGCAGCAGCTGGGTGAGAAGACCAAAATGTTACAGGATCTTCAGAATGACAGGGTAAATACCTCTTTCTTTTGAAATCTTCACACAGACACAGACACCCCACACAGACACCCTTTATTAAATTCTGTTACATCTCTAAACAAAGGGTGATTGGGCAGCGTAGCACTGTTGTAATGCATGGCAGTGGCAGTTTTACTGAACCTTTGGTGCAAAGACTTTTAACAGCAGCTGAAGCGAATTTGGTTCGAAATAGGCTGTTAGTGTGTTCTAAGTGGCTAGACAGGTGGAAAAAACCTTATTAGTTTTAAATTTAAAACTGCAAGCATACTGCTACTTGTTTGCACTATGTACTGTGGATAGAGATATGTGGCAGTAGTTTCTCCTTAATTACAAAGCTTCCAAGTAGGTTTTGGGCCCTGGGTGTTTTTTTGTTTGTTCATTTATTTTTTTATTTTATGAACTTGGAAGAAGTAACTTTTCTAACACTTTTTATTTCTCGTTAAGATTTTGAAAGAGAAAGACCTGGCTAATGAGAAATGTAAAACAACAGAGCTCCAAGAAATAAGGAATAGACTTGAAAAAGAAAGTGCCAAACTGGGTGAAGAGCTTAGAGCCTGCAAGCAAGAATTTGAGAAGGTATATTCAGACAAACTGAGTCTTCATGTGGTTGGTTAGCTTACAAGAAATAATGTGCCTACTCAGTAGTTGTTATCTGGAATGGCTTTGCAGAGATAGTTGCTGTAAATATAGAATTACAGGTAAGGGAACCAAAGCCCAGATTTCCTTGTGGTTCTTGAGCAATGATGACTTGATCAGTGATAATCCTGGAGCACCGGTGCCCAGTGTTCTTGGCCTGGTGGAACACACAACTTCTCTTAGCTTCAGGGTGGGTTGTACGTCCTGGCTTTTCTTATGTTCCACTGTAGATTCACTGTGCACACCCTTGATTGACTATTCTGAACTTCAGAAAAGATGTCCAAAAGTGTCACAAATGTGAAGTTTCCCAGATATTCTAGACACATCTGGTATGTATCAAGGATGCGTGGTAGAGTTAAAACTCCCTTGATGTGCTGTGGTTTCTTAAAATGTCTTTAAAAGTCACAGTCAGGGAAGAAACAATGTCAGGAGCCTCATAAAAGACTAAGTCTCTTCTAAAATCATAACAATCTGAAGGGTAAAATTTTGGAGGCTTTAATTAAATAACATTTAGTCTTCTGTAAAACAAACCATTTCTCGCCGCATATTATGTATTTCAGTTTTCAGTCTGCAGAAACAAATGCTCCTAAGAGGCTGCAGTTTGTGTTTTCCATGTTACAGTATTAGAGTTATGTTTGCATCTGTTAAGTACATGGGGTTTAAGTTGCTGCATAAGTATAATGAAGGTACAGTCCCTATACACTAGTAAAAAGAAAGTAACTTGTTATCTTGTGAGTTTCAGATGTTCTTTTGTTCTCCAGTGTTTAAAAAAAAGTCTCTTATGTTTACATAGAAGTCCGCACTTTCTTTCTGTCAAGCAATCTATGCCCAGTACATTCTTGAATTTTGGGAAAAGGTTACTGTAATTCTTATCACTCCTAAGATCTCTATTCTAAAGAACAAAATTTATAAAGACGTATATAAAATGTGTGCACACCAATGGCAGCTTAATATTCATCTCTTGATCTACATACAAGCAATCAGACTAAACCATAAAATGTTTCCTGAAGGCCTATATTCTGTTTCCCATCTACCAAGGATTAGATAGATATGCATATATAGGGCATCCTCCTGTTCTCAGGATATGTTCTCTCCCTATCTTTGGTTTGGTTTTAATTTTGATTTATGGAAAACTGTCAGCCCCTATGAGTCTGTTTGTACCTCCATACTTGTCTGTGTAATTTTATGATAAATGAACTCAGGATTTAGTTATGTTTTATTACAGGAGAACAAGTAAAACTAATATTTAAAAGCAAATGTATCATCCTACTTACTTAGACCAGAGGGTAATTATTTATACATTTAAGACTAATAGAAAGTAACTACAGTCAATGTTTGGTTTTTACGTTGTCATTATGATGCTTTTAACCTCATTATTGCAACCAAAGAACAATGTGAAGTAAATTTTAGAACAGACTCTAGGAAATGACGGTGGACGACTCATTTCAAAGAACTGCATAAAATAACCCAACAGAGCTTCAACTACTTTAGTAGAAATACACAGTAAATTTATTTTAAAAAAGAATGTTGTTCATAATGTAGGTAAAAGTTTAAAATCTTTTTATCATGGAAATCATTGATACTTTGTGCTATAAAATTATCCTTTCTTCCAGTGATAAAACTAAAATTAATGCTGTCTTCTCTTTGGAAAGAATTACAGTAGTTTTGAATTTAAATCATTTACGCTTTCAATGGTGCTACTTTAACTTTGAGCTCTTTATCCTAACAGGAGCTGGGGAATCTCAAGGATGCAAACCAGCTATTGATTCAACAGAAATTAGAGCTGCAGGGCAAAATAGATAATACTAATTCAGCTCTGGAACAGGAGAAAAAAACCCATCAAGCTGTCAAAGATCAGCTGAAAAAGAGAGAAGAGGAGCTGAAGAAAGAATGTGCTGAAATTGAAGCTAAACTGGTTAGTATGTTAGAGAGTAGAAGACTTGTTTTGTGAACATGCCTTTGGATTCTTTCAGGGACAGAGAAGATGGAAAGAGTTGACTTTAATTTCACATTATGTTAACTTCTAAATGACAAGGTCAGAAATCTTTGGGGCATTTAAGGTTGTAGGAGAATTCAGTGGGTTGACAGCCTTGTCTAATAGAGTTTGTTGATTAAAAGTAGTGATTCTAGTACAGTAAGTTTCCTTGCCTCAATTAAATGTAGGGAATAGGGAAAGAATACTTGGAAGGTTGTTTTTCATTGTTCCATTGTATTCTTAGCACACAGAACAAAAAGAGAAAGAAGAAGAAAATAGGAAACATGAGGAGAAGGAGACCAAGCTCATCATGCAAGTCACAGCCCTGAATGAAAACCTGGCTACGATGAAGAAAGAGTGGCAAAGCAGTCAGAGGCGAGTGAGCGAGCTGGAGAAACAGACAGATGATTTACGTGGGGATATTGCTGTCTTGGAAGCAACGGTGCAGAATAACCAGGACGAGAGAAGAGCGTTGCTGGAGAGGTAAGCTATGGTCGTGACACATGCCGAAGCATAGTTTGGGAAATGGAAAGCCTCACACTGCAACTTGTTTCAGTTGATTCAGGATTCTATATGCATGCTTTATTTAAATCTGTGTTTGTTCCTAGTGTTTGGGCTGTGGGTGCAGTTTCCAGAGTGCAACCTTCTGTCGTCCCTACCGAAGTACAGCAAGGAGTGTTGAGGATAAACTGTGCTCTTTGTGGACTTTGGCAGGGTGACTGTTTTGTAGAAAATCAGGCAGGCTTATCAGGACCTTATTTATCACCAAAGCCACAGCTCTGTGCTTGTGCTTGAAGATTTATGCCCATCTGAAAAAGCCTTCTAAATCCATTGGGCTCCTCTGAACTTTGCGGTGTGTAGGTTGTGGCTTCTCATGTCTGTTGTATGAACCTTGCAAGGCCTTACAGAGAAAGCTTCTCTTATCTGAATTAGCTATCCTTCTCCATCACTCCAAGGATCCCCTGCCTTGACTCAATCAGAGGAGATGTACTAGTCATCCAGAAGCCTGGGGGAGACTTCTTAGTGCCTCCAGTAACAAGAATTTGCTTAGGTGCTTACAGGTATGCCCACTGATCAGTGTTAGGAGATGAAATATCTAATTGGATTAGGTAGGCTAAGGTTGCCACAGGAGGCATTTTCTTCCTCCTGAAAACCTACAGTCATCTTTTCTCCAGTTCTGTTATTGTCACTACAATATATTTAAATGTTAGGTAAGCAGAGTGCCTTTCCTTTAGGCAGCAGGAGGCTTGCAAGGCAGCAGGAGTTACCTGAAAGCAGTGATTACAAAGGTAAAAGAAACACCTGTGAGACAGGAAACTTTATTTGCCTTTAGTTCCTGACATGTTTGGTGAAGGCAAAATGGAAAACATTTTTCAATGCTGTCAGGCTTGCTGACTTGTTTTTGACCAGTAGATCTTGGGAGAGGATGGGATCAACGCAAGAGAGATCCTCTTTCTTTGGCAATTCCTTGCCATACTGTTCTGAACTCATGCAGTAGCTGTTTACAGCTTGGCAGAAAAAAAACCTTTGAAATTTGGCTTTCAGCAGCTACTGGAATTTCAGCTGATGGGAGGTGGCCTTGCTAAAAGAAGAAGGGTTCTTTTCTGCTCTGTTGCCTGACCTGATCTGCAGCTGGTTTGTGAGAGTATCCTGTTGCACAGGGGTACCTATCCGGGCTTGCTGTTGATGGACTTCATTCAGTAATGTCCTTGGGTTTAGGAGTAACTCCAGGTATTAATAAACCACAGATCCTTTGGAGCAGTGCCAGATAATCTTAAACTGATTGTTACAACAGAATATTTTTCCAGTCAAGGTATCCAAGAACTTTTCACAGCAAGGATATTTTTGGCTGAGAGTTATGACCGAATCTTCTCAGACATGACAACCTGCCCAAAGGAGGCAGTGTATATTGCTGTATATGCTTTGAGCTGACTATTTACTATTTTTTCCTCAGGTGTATAAAAAGTGAGGGAGAAATTGAAAAGCTTCAAGCCAAACTAGTAGAGATGAAGAAAAAGCTGGACAACACTACTGCTGCAATGCAGGAACTTGGCCGAGAAAACCAGTCATTACAGGTATAATTTGGTTTGAAGCAATTAGACCTGTTGATTCTCTGTGTGGGAACTTAGGAGAATTTCAAGTTTGTGTCAGACTGATGGTACGTTACTTCCAAGAGTGATTAAGTTGTTATTCTTGTGGTATATGAAGGCCATATTGCTGTCTGTGGGTTCTTAAATCTGCTTATAGTTCTGAAACTTGGATGGGTTTCTCTCTGAACAACTATAAGCTCTCAGTACCACGGCAGAATTGGTGCTTTTATACTGCACCGGGTAGTGTGTGCAATGAAAATAGAGGAAATTAGTAGGAATTAGATAAGCATTTTAGAAAACAAACCTTCTTTTTGTATATCTTCTATACAGATCAAACACACTCAAGCTCTCAACAGGAAGTGGGCAGAAGACAATGAGGTACAGAACTGTATGGCCTGTGGAAAAGGCTTTTCGGTGACAGTGAGAAGGGTAGGTGTGTTTAACTGTGTGTGGGGATTTTCTTTTTCTATTGTTTTCAAACTCTTAGATGGGATACAGACTTCAGAAAATGGCGTTAATAGTGCTGTGGAATTCAGGACATCTCAGGATACAGTTATTGCTTGCAGTGCTTTAAATATAAAAAAATAGTGTGTGGAGCTTACTTTATTCATGATTCTTTTGCCATTTTAACAGTATCGGTTTATAAACAGTATTAAAATAGTTCAATCTCCTAAGCGAGCAAGCAAAATTACACTGTTGTCCGGGTGTTTACAGTAAACTTATTTATAACCACTCTGAACTGGATTTGCAGATATAAAAGGAATGTGAATTTGTTAAAATTAGATATATGTGAAAATAGGAGGGATCAACATGTGTTGGTGCTTTGTGACTATATTTCTAAACACTAACATGGACATGGAACATGGAACAGAAGAAACAACTGGGCATGTTTTAGGTCTGTAGTCAGACCTTCTTTGTGAAAAAAGCTATGGTACGCTAAGATGTTAGCATTCCTCTGCCATCAGGATATACTCCATGAAGTAGATGGGTGATACTCGTGAGACTCATTTTTGCAGCGCTTCCTGGCTTGATCTTATGTGGCTCTCCCAGTCCTGCATTATTTCAGTGATGTTCTTTGGGTAGTCTTTGAACAAAGGCTGCTGGATCCTTCGATTCAATGATGCTTTTCAGTGTGAAAGCAGGTAGTTATGTGTAAGAACAACATGTTTTATGTGACCAGAAGAAGTCCAAGAGGAGAAATTTAAGAGGAGGATGAACTTGAACCACATTATTTCCAAAATTGATACAGTCTTCCGAGTCAGTGAAGTACTTCTGAATATTTTACTCCAATACTCTTTAGAAAAAAATTACTCCTGTGGCCTTCCATGTGCTGTGTGACTACTATTTAAATATTCAAACTAACTTCTAAAACACGAGAGTTTACTTGACATCGTAGTGATCTCTATTGGCGATCGATATATTGATGTTCAACATGTACGTTTCTTCTCTTTCGCAGCATCACTGTAGACAGTGCGGAAATATCTTCTGTGCCGAGTGCTCAGCAAAGAATGCCTTAACTCCTTCTTCTAAGAAGCCTGTCCGAGTCTGTGATACTTGCTTTAATGACTTGCAAGGATAACTGGCTATCGTGAGTGACAAAGAAATGTTACACTAAAATTTACAATTTCTGTCAATGCACTTCGTTCAGCACTCAGACTACTATTCAGTTTGGACAATGATTGTAACACTTGGCAAAATTTAGTATATTTTAAAATGTTTATTGATACCAAGTAAAACTATTGTATTTTTTGTGAGACATGGGCTCAGATCATCCATAGCTTATTGCCATTTATCCTGGAAAGAGCTTCTATGTCTAGATTAGAAATATCCAGTTATTTGTAAATAAAGTTTAAACAGAGGAGTAACAATGTATTTTTTTATCTTTTATTTTTTTGTTCAAGAGAAACAGCTTTTATGTGATATTGTAGTTTATTCTTGTTTCCTTCAAAGAAAAAGGAAGATGCAAAAACTTGTGAGGATTTTATGTATCAAATGTTGCTGAAAAAAAAAGCGTAACTAATTGTTGCATTTGATTGCATATCTGATGTTCTTTATAACCCCTTGTGATTTTGTTTTCTTTCTATCTCTTTGGTTCTTGGACTTTTCTCTCTGAAGTTCGAACTCCACAGTGAGGGTAGTGGCTGGACTCGACTCCAGCTCAATTATAGTTGCCCACTTAGAACTTGTAGTATCAGCACCTGAGTCCTTATCTAACTGCAGTGCTTGGTTACTGCAACATCTTCACACATACTGTATTGCATAGTTTGTGTGTGTGTGTGTCTGAGAGCGAGTACATGTGGACCAATGATGAGACAGAGTTTAGTGGGCATTGCAGGAATATTAAATGATAAATTGCAATATTCCATTCTGTATTGATTGATTTCACTTTTATGTATTCATTTGACAGATTTTAATCTTCCAGAAACCCTTATATGTGTGTTTTAAAAAGCAAACAAACAATATTGGCAGTAGCCTATAGCGCATATCCCTGTGCCCATACCCTGGAAGCCCTTGGAGGTCCTTGAGGTTCTAAGGGACATCCAGACCTTCCATGCTAGGTATCCTACTAAGAAAAAGTCTCTGACACTGCTGCAGATGTCTGACCTTTCCTTTTGTCCCTTCCCCAGCTCTTCATGGAAGATGCTGAATACCTGCTACACTTAACAAACCTCAGTTTTGTGCTCCATCTGATCCCATTACCAGTGGGTCTTAAATGTTACATTAGTTATATGATACAGTCTGCTCAGAATGGTGGTGTGAATCTCCTGCTATTGGCTTAGTTATATCCAAACAGCTCTAAATAAGAGGGCAATATATGTATCTTTAGATATTTATTCATATTTACTGTACTTGCAACAGAGGTTTCTGGTAGAGTTCATGTAGGCTCCAAACTTCTTTTATGTTGTGATTTTATTTACACTTGTTTGTTCTTGCCTGCCTGTCTCCTACTTTCTTCCCTTTGTGTCTGGTATTTTTAAACCATTAAGGTTATTTCCTCTGAAAGTGGGTTATGCCTTCCAATATTTAGGGACCCTTTGTCTTAAGTAATAAGCTTGCCACACCTCGGCCTTCCTACAAAATTTTGCATGCTGTTCAGAGAAAAAGACTGTGTCATGAATTCCTCTACTTCTTGCCTGAGGTAAGAAATCAAATTCTGTCACAATGATGGAAGCTTAGCCATCATTAGGCAGGTTCGTTTGCTTATATCTATTGACAGCTCTGTATGTGAATGAAGAAGAGCCTGATGAAAAAATCTAGTCCTGATAAACTCTTAAGTGAAAAAACTTCTTAATCCCTCTTCTGCAGAAGTACGATCTACATGTTTCATGTCCCTTCTTAGTTTACCTGTCTAGTTCTACATTTGCAGCCTCAAAGAGTCTTCTTCAAGAAGTTTTCTTAAACTCAAATTCTTATTTCCCAAAAGCCAGCTGGATTACATAACTGGTTCTCCTCACTGCAAAAGAGTTTGGGATACTGCTGTGGTTTATGTGAAATACTGATCTGTTTTTCTGGTTTGAACTTGAGAGTTGCTTGCTGAAAAACAATTGCTGCAATGATTCCATATGAACAGCCCCTGGACTTGCTGTTTCTCCTCATCAGTGTAACAGTTTGTCATAAGAATCTTTTGAATAGAAAATACGAACAGAATCTCTGCCTCTGGGAATGGTTTTTTGTATTTATTTATTTATTGAGAGAATCCGAAGAGTTTGCCTTCGAGCCTTTCTTTGTTTGACATATGACTTCAGAAACATGTGAAAAGAAGCAACAGTCATGCTCCAGTGTAGATGTGCTCTGCTCTGTTGGGTAGTGCAGGGAGCCTTGTTCTGCTTTCAGGATGAAGGATGACCACGTGGAACAGAAGGCATTTGGAGAGGGAAGGGAGAAGCTTCTCATGACTTCACAGGGACAAAACACATGAGACCATGAGACAGGAAGATAGAAATCTTTTGGAGGGAGCTAGGAAAATGGTTAAAAGACTCACTTAGGTTCAGGCATTTTGCTTTTCCATGGGAATGTGTGAATGCTGAGGAGAGAGCCCTGCAGTACAAAGGAAGTGGTAGAAGCTCTAGTAGAGTTGTTCTTAATTCAGCCTTTTGAGATGCCTTTGTGTAAAGACAAACAGGGTCACCTCACTCAGCTGGCTGCTGAAGAAGTGTGGTTGTCTGACCGCAGATCAGACCTTGGTCTGGAGCTCCTCATCTTCAGGGGCAATACCAGCTCAATTTCTGCAGGTTGCTTTTTGCTGACCACTTCATATGACCAACTTTTTGATGGACTGGAAATGCTTTCCAAATACGCATTTGTAGAAAGAGGGATTGTAAAATCTGGAGGAACAGTGGTGGGGTAGAAGCTTTCATGTTTGAGCTTTGGGTCTGCAGCAATAGGTCACGACTGCTACAGTTTTTAATTTGAGTGAATTTATGATTCCATAGCTGAATCTTATGCTCCTTCTTTTGTGCTTAGGATTCTTAGAGCTGGTCTGTATATTTTGACCAGTTGATGGTATACTGCACCCTGTCACGCTCTTGGCCTCAATGCCAGGTTGGAAGTTGTGCTCAAGCTCTCTAAAATTACCTATGAGATACAAAATAAGGCAAACTGGAAGGTGAAAAGCTTTGTATTTATAAATCTGCTTACAGATTCTGACTGTTTTGATGGGCATGTATTGGTAGGAACGTAGGTTTTGTTGCAATGCTTTGAAATGTAAATAATAGGAAAACCTAGTAAAAAGCCTGGTAATTTTTACCATGCTGTGTTAAAGGATTCCAGGCAAAACAGTTTAATGTACTGGGTTTTTTAGACCACAGTCACAGGAACAGAGGGAAAAACTAATAAAACGTCAGAAGAGATTAGAGCCTTGGAACTGGAGGACCCATAGTGGTGTTGTTTTAACAGCCTCTAGAAAGAACCAAATTGCCCTCATTCACTGAGGAGAGGCCATTATAGAGCAAGAGGTGGAAATAATGGTGTAAGCAGTGCTTGAACCAATAGGTGTGTGGTATCATCAAACTTCCTTTGATTGCTAGGCACTACGGTGGCATCAGGAGTGGGCCAGTGAAGTGTGGGGTTTGTTCCTGAAACTCTCCCCTCTGCAAGACACTCCATCCACATTCAGAATTGCTGGGGAAGCAGAATATGAGCCCAGCTGCTACATGGGCTGGGACAAGCTACGGAGGCAATCCAAAAAGCGTAAAGGGTAGTCTTGTTAAGGGTGGGGAAAGGTCTTTAACTTCCTGGAGACTTCATCTCTCTTCCTAGTCAAATAGCCACAATCCCTTGCATTGTTACCTCCAGAAAGCAAATCATACAGTTCTACTCCCACCTCATGTCAGCAATTCATACTTACGTCGTGCAACCTCTCTGCAGGCAGGTAGCTTTGCAGAGGTCAGTGGCAGCCTTTTGATCTTAGCTAGATGTGCTTCATTGTTATTTATTTCTTCTCCTCGTGTATTCCCTCCAGTAATCTTCCCCTTTCTGCAAAGGTTGAACAAAAAGGATAAAATTAATGAGTCACAGTAGGAAAAGTTGCTCTCTGCAGATGAAGAGACAAAAAGAATTTGCAGCTGCAGCTTCCAACAGAGGTAAGAAAGGCGTTGAGCAGGATCTCATTTTTCAGCTGGTTTTACTCTCTGACACACGAGTCCGAGGCTCTAGGGTACAGTGCAGGTTTATCCCTCTTTCTTTGGAAGGTGTCAGATAACCGAGTTGCCAAGGTGTGGAGCACTAGGTACACAAGAACGATGAATAACTATTTTTGTTGGGTTTGGGGCGATTAAAATTATCTGTGAATCCTCACTAGAAAAGCTTTCTTAGTGAAGCAAGAAGGGATTTGGGAGCAGAAGCGTGAAGTAACCTTGCTGTGTTTGTATTACATGAGCACAAACAATTGACTCTCTAATGCTAGATGTAAGAGAAGAGACATTCCTAAAGAAGGGACCTGGAAAACTTTTTAGGATTGTTGAATATCAGTTAAACGTCAAATGGAATCAAATGCTTGTTGCAAATCTTTATAAATTATTATGGCCAGTATTTAGTGGCAGATAGAAAACTGCTGGAGCTTAAGTTCAAATAGAAAATAAACTATGCCAAGAAGAATGATATAATGGTTTGAGTATGTTGAAACTGATAAATTACTCCTCCAAGTCCCACCCCTCCCACCCTCATATTCTTAGAAGACTAGGAAACAACACTGTCATTAGCACTATGCACTTTTTGCTGTCTAACTGAATATAATCTACAGTAAGTGGAATGGCATACTTTACACTGCATGTGTTAGTTGTAATCAGTGGACAGAAAGTTTGTCTTCAGCTGGACTTCTCACTGTATTGCATTTGGCCCCTTGCTATGTAAGGAGAATTGCACTTGTAATTCCTTTGTATCAAAATAATGATCATCATCTGAGAGCACATGTTGACGACAAAACCCATGTAATCACGCACACGTTATCTCTGTAGAGCTTCATTTTAAGATTATTAAATGAGAAAATGTGAATCTTGTGTATTTTCAAGGGCCTTGCCAGTTGTTCAGCTCTTAATTTTTGAAGTCTTGACCTCAGCATCCCTTCTAGGATAAGTTTAGAATTGTTGTCCAAACACAGCCTCTCCAAAAGCACTAAATGGTGTACTTTTCAAAACCAGCAATAATTGGATAGTGAAGTCTTGCCACAGAAACTCAGTTTTAGGGTATTTTTCTTTTTTCTAAGGGACACTGAAAAAAGAGGTTTGCGTCTTTAGAGAGAACATTAGATGTCACTTAAGATCACAATAATGAAGAGGATAGGTACTAGTTAATGTGATAAACTCTGCCTTTTTTCTGTAGCTCACCATACGCTATGCACTCACAGTGCAGCAGATACAGCGGTATCTGCTCATTTGGAGATTACTGAAGCTCTGCTAACCCTTTTGGCTCAACGTTACTATGAAAGCAGAAGCCTAGTAGGTGTGTTTTTCCAATTTTTACTCTCCCTGTGACCTAAACTAAAATCAAATTCACCCGTATTTCCTGCCTTTCTTGGGTAAAGAGGACTGGGAAAAAAATGTCCATTGCCATATGTCAATAGGCCAGTGCTGGCAGGTCCAGGCTGCTGCTGTTGGCTTTATGGCAAAGTACTCCATTGTATCACACTATAGCTTGATTCCTGGCATCAAAGGGATGTTTGAAAGAACATCTTGCTGGGTTAGCAAATACCAGAACTTTTTATAGTTATACGTCCAAAATGCTGCTTGTATAGGATTTGTCACTTTTGTAAGAAAAGAGAAAAAGTCACATACAGAAAATAAAAATCATAAACCCCCACCATCTGATGTTGTTACATAAGATTTCATTTAAACTACCTCTCAGTGTGAAATTCAAACATTAGGTAAGTTTAATAAGGTTTGCTCACTGTCATGTTACGTACAAGTTCTAGAGGATGCCAAAACTGCAAAAGTTTATCACCAAAAAGGAAAGAAGTTAAGTCTGTTCATTTAATGTGTTTGAAAGTATCCCATAGTTTCAAATTACTGTAAACTCTGTTGTATTCTTTTAACTTCTGTAGTTCCAAGCATGCAAACTTCAGCTGCTGGACAGGAAATAAATCATAACCACAAGCTGTCATAATTGTGGTCTGCTGGGTGTAAACAATTTTGTATGCAGCTTTGTCATTCACCAAATGTACCATTAGTTTAGTCTTGTTTTTTCTTCAGTACTGTAATGGATGTGTGCCACAAAATACATTGTCTTGTTTGCTTCTTTTCTCAATTTTAATGATCAGTTTATTATTGCAGATGTGAATACTGCTCATACAGCTTGATTTCTGTATGATTGCATAAAATATAAATGGGAAAAGTTTTAAGTTCTTATCCAGTATTTAGAGGTAATGTATTATAATAGCCTTATGTTGCAGTTTTACCTACAGAGTACTGAACTTCTTTTAAGCTGGATCATACCATCTTGGTAGGTGTAGGTAGATTTCTTGCATGAGTGTGTATTGGTTTTGTTTCTTTTTATTTGAAGTTCGATTCTCTTAAGTTCTACTTTCAGTGTTTGTGTTTACTACTTGTGATCATGTAGTTGTGCCTTACATTGTGAAAGAATATAGTCCTGTGTGCACTGTAATTCCTAAACTCTGTGATATGGAAAGCGGCTGTGGATTTGGATGAGGAGATGACACCATGCATCAACTGGTTCTATATAAACTATGATGAAATGTTACTGAAATGTTGGGTTTTGTTTTTTTTTTTTTTTGTTTGTTTTCTAACCTGTTAAAGGAATGACTAATGATAATAATAAAAAAAGAGAAAAATTAGACTTAATAGACTAATTCTGTCGTTCAAAACTACCTGGCCCCATTTCAAGATAGCAAACTGCTTTCAAATGGGGGATATATCATTTTACAATTGACCTTTGGGAAGCCACACATCTAAGAACAAGCTAAATGCTCAGTTTCTTAGACTTGTGGGGAGGTGCAAGAAAAGTTTTCACGTTCCTGAGGAGCTAGTGATAATGACTGTGTTTCAAATCTGTTTTCTCGGAGATTAAATTCAGAGTAATTTTTCCATTCCCAGTAACTGCACAAGGCTGCTAGGTATCCTGCGTTCAATTGAAGTCACTGGCTGTGTTACATTGCATACAATGCAGTTGGACAATCGGCATAACTGGAAGACTCAGAAGTAGCTCTTGGTTTATTTTTTTAGACTAATGAAGGGCTCATTTATGAGACAGAAACTTCTTTCAGGGTGGAACTATGTTGCAGAGAGAAGCCAGGTGAGAGATCAGTTCCATGACAAAGCCAACATCGAATTGTGGGCCATTCACAAAAACCTATGTTTAGCTATTGAAGCAAATCTTCCTTGGGACTCTGTGTGGACAGTGGAGAAAGATGGAGAGAAGAGGTCTCCTCTGAAAGGTGGTTTGAGTTGGGAAGTTAATTTCTGCCCGTGAGGCATCTTTCTCTTCAGACCACAGAAGGACCTGTTAAGCTTACCTCTCCCTGAAGACAGCCTGTGTTTTCAGGTATCATGAGGTTCTGGTGAGGCACTAGTGGTGGAAGGGGGAGGGTATGATGCAGTGTGAAGCTCAGCTTGGGATCAGGGAGTTTGAGCACAGCTGTGTAAGCCAAGTTGTGGCTAAGCATTTGCAGCTTGCGTGGTGCCCTGCAGCAGAACTGCTGTCTCCACTGTTTTGCTCTCCTGCCTTGCACATTCACCATTGGCGTGGAGCCTGAGTGGCTGTTCCTCTCCCAGGAAGCTGCAACAAGAACTTGCCTATCGCAGGTACAGGGAGAAGCACAGGGATGGGTACCACAGAGGCCTTAGGCTGCCGCTGGAGGATGCTCAACCAGGTGAGCACATCCATATATACAGCCTCCAAACAGTAGCTCATATATACAGGTGAACCAGTGGATAAAACATACAACCACGTACACATGGGTGTTGCTGGGGAGGAGTGGGGTTAGGAGCAATACTTGAGCTCATCACTAATTCAGTTGTGGGGTAGAGAGAGAATCATTGAATGGTTAGGGTTGGAAAGGAACTTAAAATCATCTAGTTCTAACACCCCTGCTGTCTCCTCCATGAATATTGTGAACAACTGGAATGGCACTGTTGTGCTGTTCAGCGTAACCCTCATCTGCAAGGCTTCTCTGTTCCATTCACCCTGAAGTAATTTCTGACACTGAGAGGATATTCTAATGGAAAACTTTTCTGCTGAGGGAGACTAACTGATTTGGGACAGAAGGAGGGAAAAGTGACAGCCACCAAGACCGGCTTTAGGGAAGTCTCCCTTTCTCTCTCGATTATGGCTAATCACAGGGGATTAGCCAAGGCTAACATGGTAAGAGCATCCCCCTTCCCTTCCCCTTCCTGGTAGTAACCTGCATGAATGTTGTGGCAAGTATTTTCAGGCTGTTCTGTGGTCTCTTCCAGTACCTCGAAAAGAGAGAAAAATTAAGTGACTAATGGGCACACTTCTGCTATGTGGACCATAGATCTGAGATAGCAGTGAAATATTGAATGGTTTAATGCAAAAGGAACATTCGAGTTTCTGAATAAACTTCAGAGGCTTCAATGGGTGTGAAAAACTGTGTAGTGACAGATTTGCTGTTAATAAAGTGGTGAAAAACCTCAGGTAAAAAAAATGCAAATAAAGCAGGGCATCTTTGCGCTTTTGTTCTTTCTTTTTGTATAGTCAGTAGCATCTCTGGTTTAACCGAATGTTCCGTGTAATTATGAAGTTTTCCAAAGAAACTTAAATAATCTAATTTTAAAAATTAATGAGGAGTCAACACAATATATGCTTTCACTGATCTGCCTCCACAAGCTCAAGTTAATGCAGAAACATCTTGTGATATTATAATTCAGTAGGTAGAGAGGCTATCAGGACCTATAGATACACAGTATTAATTTAATGAAATTTGTTAATACAGTTTGAATGATTTCAGAATAACCTTTCTAGACTTTTCTGGTGAATGAATGCTCCTCACCAACATAGGTGTTTCTGCTGTCCTGCTTTCTAGAAAATGACAAGCTGTGCCAAAGCTCCCCTGGATGGCAAGAGCCTTACCCTAGTTGAAGCAAAGGACCCTCTAAGTGATGCACTTACTGCAAGGCACATGTTCCCCCTTTAGTTCATCCCTATATCCCGTGGTCAAAACTCCTTACACCTGCCTAGTCAAGTTAGAAATCTGTTAGCTTCAGAAACTTAAGGCATCCTGGAAGAAATAACTGTGTTATCACCACAAGTCTTCCACTGGCTCTGTTGGTGCTGTGCTGACACTGACATCATTGAATTCCAGTGGATTCAGCTGGGAGGCAGAAAGCAGTGCTTTTCTTGATTTCATGTTGCATGCAGTAATTGGACATTGCCATTTCTGTCTGTGACATCCATGTTTTCTGTAGCAGGAAAAAGTAAGTTGTAAACCAAGATAATCTAAAAAAGTTCTAGTAATTGAAATACATAATCCACCAGAGCCTTTAGTTTTATTTAGCCTTTCTTCAGGGCCCATGCTCATCATTCCTGAACTGAGCATGAATTCTCTCAGAACCAAGGCTCCCAGTTGCTCAGGTCACTACACATTGCTGGAGTCAGTGTCTGGGGCCAGGGATTTCCAGTGGAGGTTTGTTTCCTTTTTGGTTGGAAGGTAGGGAATTAATGCTCTGTTTGCTTGTAATGGTGAAGCTTGCTGCAGGCTATTTCACTCTTTTTCATGTAATATTTATTAGGTTAATGCTGCCCCTGCAGTTTGGGCTCCCTGTTCCTCTGATTAAGATGGCCCCAGTGCTATCAGCATCACAAGTTCTGTTCCCCTCTGAGATCTTTCATGTGCTGCCACATGAATTTTGGTTTCTAGTATCATGCCGACAGCTCTGTAACTGCTGTCATCCAGATATGAGAGCAGGGGGTGATGGCTGGAGAGATGAATTTAAAATATGTAACTTCCTTCTCTCTGTGCTAGTCCAGATGGTCTGGGTCATGGCAGCTGAGTTGTCTCTGAATTGCTGTGATTACAGATTACAAATTAGTTGGCAGCAAGACAGGGTTAAGGTCTAGCTGTGCTTCTTCCACCCCAGGGGTTTTATTTTGCTTAGTCAGGAGCTGCTCTCCTGCTGTAATGCATGTAGAGACACCGAGCTTTGATGCAAATAGTAGAAATGCATGAGAATGGGCAGCCTGTTCTACTTCATGCTATGCTATGCTGGGATTCATACATTTTATATTGATCCATCTGGTTGTTTCTTGTGTGTGTTTATACCCTGAGCAAGTTGAAAACATCACTTGGAAAAATAGAAAGCTAGACATAAATTGGATGACATACAGGTCTAAGGAATCCCAGCAGAGGACATGGAGGAGTCTACATGTGCCTGGTAGAGCACAGAGCCTGCCTTTGGCATGGGGTGGTTGCTCTGGCCCCTCTGGAGCTTCTGGTGGAGGAGGTCTGATGTGCAGTATGGTGGTGGTGACGGTTGCACAGGGCTTTGCCACGCAGTACTAGACTCACAGCAGTCAAGATATAAACTGTTTTGCTTCTCAAGGCTCAGGGAGAAGAGTGGGAAATGGGGGAAGAGAACAGAAGGCAGGATAGTGGTATGGGTGGGATGAGCAACAGCAGCGTATTTTGGGTCTGTGTTTTCATGTGTCTGCTGAATATTTGGTCTCTGAGAGAGAGGTGGGAGTAGGGGATGGGGTTCACTGCATCAACATTCAACACACCATGTGTACTCCCCACAGTAGAGCGCAGTATAGCAGCAAGAGGCAAGCAGGCAGGGGCAACCTGGGCCTCGCAAGGGAGCTGGAAGCTGAGGCAGGCACTGCGCAAAAGTCAGGAGGTCTAAGAGTCAGCCCTCTGCTTGGGACTAGTCAATGGCAATGGCTTCATTCAGTTTGTTGTCTCCTTTTTGGTACAGCTTAGCTATCTTGAGGCACTTGTCTGCCCCAGGTATACTTGGCTCCCTATATATAATACTACTGACCAGTATCATAGAATCATAGACAGTTTGGGTTGGAAGGGACCCCTAAAAGTCATCTAGACCAACCCATCAGTATTAATCCAAACCACCTTCCCTTCTGCCCTGCAGAATCATGTCAGCTAAACCCATGAGCTCATCTTGGCTAGCAAAGTTTCTTTAAAAAGTATATTGATTATGCTGAGATTGGGCTTCTTGGGAGCTGAAATAAGGTAATTCACTTCCTTCAACTGGTGCTGGAAAGTCTACCTTTCCCAGGGCTTAGAGCACCCAAAGTCAACAAAATGGGTAATGCCACCACGTCCAAGTGAAAAGAACCCTTCACAGCAGGGGTGTGCAGTGAGCAGAGCTCTCTTCTCTGGTAAACTGGACTTGGGAGATATTGAGAAGATGGTGGCCACCTAGTGTGAAGGCAGCTTGAGAAGGGAAAGGTAATATTTCAATCACAGGAGAAGGTAATGACTTCTTGAGTAGGTATCTATAGTAGTAGAGATACCTGTTCCAAGTACCAACCAGTGCCATGGAAATAGGAAGAATTCACTCATTGCTTTTCCCTGAAGAAGTCTTTCTACTGCTGCTTACTCTTAAGAATTAGTATTATTGTAGTCAGATTTCTGTGCATTAGGTATTAGAGAATGAAATTCAAATTACAGGAGAAAAAAATATACTACTGCGAAGTGTCTACCACACTTTCAGATGTTACATGCAGTGCTGTTACTAGAAATGTGGTGTGAAAATGGGGGTAAACTTATGTAGCAGTGGAATGAATCATACCATCTGTTCAACCTGAAATTGCAAGATGTGTGTTGTGCATAGACGAGCATGATACGGTTTTCTGATCTGAGTACTACTGCTTATGAGGAGCTGGGGGTTTGTGTTTTGGTGTTCTTCTCTGAAGGGGCTGACTGTCTTCATTTTTGTGCAATAAGAAACGCCTTTTTTACCAATCAGAAATCACAATGTTTTTCAACACGAATATGACCTGCTGCCAACCCTGATATCAAATTGGTACATGTTCAACAGCAAAAGTTCTGTAAGAAATGTGCAAGCCAGAGCCCTGGGGTGTTATTTTGTTTTGGCTTGGTTCTGGTCAAATGTCACAGCTGTAATAGATTCTTATAACAGCATGGCTGCTCTCAGGCTGCAATTCTCTTCTAGGAAAAGCATGGTTGTGTAAGTAGAGAAGAAAAAATTGGGGTGCTACTTACCTTAGCAGCCTCTGTCTGAGCTTGTAGCAAGAAGACTGCAATGCACTGATGGTACCTATTTTCATGCTGTGTTAGGAAAGCATTTCGCAGGCTGAAGACTGTGGAAAAATATGAAGAGGTGATGTAAATTCCCTCATGCAGCTGTCAGTCCAACTTTATAACCCATTGTCTGCTTATGATTGAAGAAATGATATATGTAATCATCTGTTCTGATTCTTAATAGGGCAATGCACCCTGATAGGGTTATTTTTTTTTTTGTTGTGCAGGAAGCTTTGTTATTTCCAAAAGTTAATCCTGCTTTCATTTATTTTATTTTTAGTTATTTTACCGTTGTGCAGCTATGGTGCTTTTAAGTCTCGCTGAGGATCATTAGGATAAATTTCCATTCAAAGTGGACTAAATTTTAACTGAAATTAGAGAAAAACAAATATCAGGAATTAAAAAGAAAGGCCCCATTTTAATTTTATTTCAAACAAGTCCATACGATGGCTGCCAGGCAGGGAAATGGCTGCTCTTGGATTGATGATGGTGGGTTTGGGTTCTCCCCAAATCTTAAATCCACAGCAGAATGTTAAAAGTGATTTCCTAATTGGAACGTATGTTGCTGCTTATGAGCTTCAGAGATGGGTTCCTACTATTACACTTACATGTAAAGTTACATCTATGGTCTCTTGTGCAAGGTTTTGGCATTTGCAGATAGGTAGGTCTGCTTTAGGGTAGCTTCTCAGGGTTGTAAGAACACCATTATGGCTCTTATCTCTCCACGGATACGTAGCAGGCCTCAGGCAAGAATTATCCTGCATAAATATCATCCTCCTGCCTGTTACCAAAAGGGTATATCTATGATACTGCAATATATATAGTTTTTTCTAGTCCTTGTATTGAGGTTCATTTTTTCCCATAGTGAGATCAACCGTCAGCGAGCAAACGGATGCAAAAGTACGTTAGATCAAAAATCAGGGTTTCACTGTTCATTAATGTGATGGGTCACTACAAGCCAGATGTTGTCATTTCTGAGAACTGCCACCAACAGCAGTTCTAGTCTTTTACTGCCACCAACAGCAAAATTCGCCTTGAGATTGCAAATGGATTGGCAGCATTCCCCAAGGTCACGCATTCCTGATAATATTTAAACTTTTATTTTTTTCCTACAAAGGGGTATTTTCCATTGGCATTGGAAGTTTTGCTTCATTTTTATTTTTTTTCACAAAATGGTGGAAATCTGAACTGCAAGCTCCCTGTAGCAATTTTTCTAACTCTTTTTATTGTACCCCCCTCCGAGGAGTCCTGCATGAGGATGGGGCTTCCAAGGTGTTACAAGACTACAGGTAAGTAACAGAGACTGCCATAAAGAGACAGAGATTTACAGACAGAGACTGTAGTAAAGCTGGTAGGAATATGTGGGAGAGAAGTCAGGCAATGAGGTCCTGGGTGCAGGGATTGGCCGTAACTGGTGGCCAGAGTGTGGGCTGGGACGCCACAGATAACTTTGTCTATTCTGCTGGTTGCAGCTGGATCACAGGGACCCTGCTTAGAAATCTCTGCAGGAAATGCTGACTTGGAAAAAAAATCCAAAAGTCTTATTCCCACCTTCATTATGGCTTTTATGGCCAATCTTATATGGCCAAACCAGAGTGTGGCTGCACTGCCCGCACCGGCACCCAGAAGCTGTCAACCTTGCATCTAGTCTGGGCTTAGGTAGGATCGTGGGGCTGCCCTCCCCTTGGTGAGAGGTGGCCACTGCATTTGTTTCATTTCTGCTGGGTTGGCAGGGAGACTTGTTAGGCAAACAGCGCCTGGAGCACCTTTTAGCACCTTTCTTTTCTGTGTTCATGCCCTTATCTCATCTTTAGTAATTTGCCTTTTATTGCCTACCTTTATTTCATTACAGTATTGATGCTGAATGCTAAGTACTCTGGGTGAATATATTTCAAGTTATAATGAATTTATGGGCTCTAGGTTTGCTTTTCGTATGTATTGATTTTCTACAGAGCACTCTAGCTCCTTGAACTTTTCCTCTCAGACCTTAGGATTAGGATGGCTGACAGGCCCTGGAGCCTGCGGATTTGTAAGTCTCTTCTTTCTCTTTGATCCAGGAGGCTCCTGGGATCTGGGCAGCATTAGACTGGGGTGTGTGAGAGCCTGCATGAGTGGCTCAGACCAAGGGGAAGCCTGATTTTTCACACCTGCTCCCTCACCCAAGCTCAGATTTGTGACTCCAGGGATGCTGTTTTGGCAGGGTAAGGTTGGTCACTCTCTGTGGAGGTCAGTCCTCCTCCCCACCTCACGCAAGGGCACAGCAGCAGTTATTGGAGCTGGTTTCCCCTGGCAGTGCATTTAGATGCCTGTGAGCAAGGAGGCATTGATAAATGGTGGAGAGGTGAGTAGGAGCAGCAGCAGGAGGTAAATCTCCTCTCCAGGTTCCTCAAGAATAGCTGCTGTGCATGTGTGAGGACACCCAGGAAAGCAGTGAGTGGGACAGCTGAAAAAAATGCTGCATGACTAGTATGGGATTGAAAACATACTTGAGAAGGGTGCCCAAGGTTTGACAGAGAGTGTTAGGACAGTTAGGGCAAGGAAATACTTGGTTTGTGAGAAAGAAGTCACTGGAGTCTAGATACCTCCTTTAGGGTGAATAGGTAATATCTGGTGTGTATGTAAAAGTCACTGTTAGAGGCAGGGGGACATGGGAGGTAATGCCTGTGTAAGCAGTTCATGCCTCACAGTAGAAGCAAAGCTGTGAAGCCACAGTGCTAAGGCACCAGCGTTTGCATCCCAGGCATCTGAGAGTAGTTTTTGGGCAAATAGCATCTTACCCTTACACTGCCACATACACAATGCATTGAGGTGGTATTTCTGAAGATGTTCAAATGCACATAGGCACATACCTGTAACATGGATGGGGTCAACGTTTTTCAGTATCAGCCTATCTAGTGAGATGGGCTGGTCTAGGACAGTGCAAAATCCACCCTCTCTGATGAAGGACTGCAGCTCAGGAGTGAGGGAAGGACAGACAGGCATTAAACTGATGTCTGAGCCTCCGTATTTCTGGGAATAGAAGATGAAGTTGCTTAGCTGGTTTTCTGCCATCTGCTCATGAAGTATAGGCACTAAACAACCCTAACTTATATGTGCTTTCTCTTACCAAAGGAACTCAGGCAGCTTGCTTATCTGAGGAACCTCAGGAAAACCATTGGTACCTGGAGCTCTCCTACACCGTCACACCTAGTACTAAAAAGCCCCATTAGAAACACAATACAAGTCCACAGGCAGAAACTAAAAGTGTTCAAAACTTTTTTTCTCCACCTTTTCTCCCCTAATTTAATAGCAGGACTTTTTATCCATGCCTTGGACGTGTGTTTCCCCATCTCCCCTCACATAGATGCAGACAGACAGTGCCTGGGGGGGCACCAGATTTGCTGGGGCTCTGAATGGGTTGCAGCCCTTCACAGAAGTTTCCCCAAGACATGTAAGTGGGGCAACCCTTAGAGACTTGCCTGTGGGCACCAGGTCCCTTGAATTCCTGCTCCCTTCATAACCCCTATTGCTAAGGAATGGTGTTGCTGGTCTAGAACCTTTCACTGCACACGTTCTCTATCTCCTACAAAAGCAGAACACCTGCTTCATTAAAGAAAACTCTCAAGTTTTTGTATCAGACACAAAGTTCTTGAGAGTCAGCACAGGTCCGCTTAGCCTTAATTTACAACAGCTTCATAAACTTGATTAGCTAGATGCACTCCTACACTGAAGCTTTAGTAATTTCAGGTCATCCACTCCCTTTTTTGGTGGCTAAATACAGACATTTATCATATATTGAACTCTCTCTTGTAGCATCTTTCATCAATAAAAATTTTCTTAGGAGTCATTATATATCCATTTTAAACCATGAGAAACCAATGGAGGGAGAGGAGGCATACAGTAGACTGACTCTGTTAGTGCTGAGAACAAAGCCAGCCTTCCCTTTCCCTGTTTTCTCCTGCCTCCCCTCTTTTTTTTACTTCCTTCCAAGAGTTCTGATACCTCTGGGATAAAAATTTCTCAGGTGCTGAACCAAGTCTTGAGGGAGCACTACAGATCTTCTCATAACCTTGAAACTTCTCTTAACTTCAGGAATCCAGCGTGTCAGAACACCACCAGGCAAACATGCAAATGTTAAGGTCTTGTAATGTAAATTCTGCCTGTCATAGTGTTCCTGTAACATACTGAGCCTAAAAGCAAGGGTTTTAATCAGTGTTATGGTTTTCTATTAAGGAGGTATCACCAGTCCTTCATGCTGATTAGTTGTCTTGTATTTATAATTAGATCAACCTTCCAAAGTACACTCAAAATATTTACCAAGCTAAAAACCGTAATGACTGCAGCCATGTATGTCTCTATCCATTATTACCTTTCTGTTATGTTTAATTTTGGTAATTAATAGGAAATCATTGAACAGGAAAAGGAGCCAAGGAGTCTTGTGCTTTGTGAGGAAAAAAACAAAACAAAATCAGTTTTATGGTGTGATTATTTTAAGGAATTGCTATTTCTAAGATGAAGCACATCTATGAATCATGCCTGTTAAAAGCATCTTACAAAATGCTTTTAACAAAGAAGCATGGTTTCCAACATACTATACAACTACTTATCCCTGGTCTGCACTCTCCAATGCAAGTGTTTAATGTCTCTTGTTGCTTTTGGCTACTAATAGTTGTACCTTGTAGCAGCTACCACTTGAATAAACAACTACTTGACTGCCAGGAAAAGTGACCTGGATCACCTGGAGTACCTACGAATGCAACCATTGGCATGCTATAAATTAGCAAATTCTGCCTGGTAAATAGTGAACTTTTTGAAAATGGCAGAGAGAAAGAAACAGGAAAGTACCACCTTTTCCTGGGTCCTTTAAATACTGGCTTGCTGCCCTCTTCACAGGCTTTTGCAGTGATGAAATGTAATTGATAGCATCACGAAAGCCTTTCAATAACTGCACAAAGTGAGAGTGACTCTGCAACCTGTCTGGTCTTCTGTACCATTATTTGACTACCCTAATTGTTAATTTTTTTCCAAATATCTAATGGGGAAATACCCCATGCTGAAACTTGCATTGTTATATCTCATCCTTTCTGTGTGCAATACCAAGATGCCTTCAGCTTCATCTGCCTTAAGCCATCCATTAGGCAGTGAAAACAACACTAAGGTCTTCCCTGAGCCTTCTCTTCCTACACCTGAACAAACCCAGTTCTCTCAGCTGCTCCTATTTTCAGCTACAGGATTACAAAACCCCTATTCAACTGTAGTCTCAGTGACCTCTGTTTCATTCAAGCAATCACATTCACTTTATCACCAAATTTATGTGAGTCTGTTCAGGGTGGTGACTTTAGGACATGCTCCTTTCTGTTGCACAGAATTACATTTGACTTGTGATCTCATTTTTGTCTTGAAAGATATTTCTTTCAGGCAAGTGGCCAATTGCCAGGCAGTTTTATATTGCAGATTGCAGGCAGCTGGCTTGGCGGGTAAGAATTATGCTCAAACCTCCTTGTCCATTTTCTAATCACATGTTGCAGAAAGAAATGTGGCCACCTGATGGCCACCCTTACCTCCTGCATTTGGGGCTGATGTCTCATCAAGAGAGCAACGAGTGCAGAGGGAAGCATGGAAAGGAGACGAGTCAATGGCTTTCTTTCAGCTCTGCCTGTCACCCACTAAACATCAGCAGCAACTTCCATGTCCGTGATGTTGTGTCTTCTGTGCAACTGTAATTCTCCTCATGAAACACTGAAAAATAGACTGTCTCTTTTGCTGCTCCCTTTAACAGTAATAAAGGTGGTGGGAGACACTAAGTGTTGTGTACTTATTCTCTTCACCTCTGTTTCTGAGAAGGTGGTGAAGGAAATGTAAGACATGGGCTCTGCTCATTTCTGTCAAACCATTTCTACAGCCCTGCAGCCACCATGGCATGCGGCTTCCAGCATCCTTTCACATGATGGTCTTTTCCAAACTGCCCAGGCTTTCCCTCCTGCTCATGCAAGGAGGACATTCCCTTTTCCTGAGCAGGTGTAGATTCTGCAGCACTTCCCTAGCAAGCAGCCTGTGCCCGTGTGTCTGGAGATGCGAGTCTCTACTCTGCCAGCACGATAAACAGCTGCAAACAGAGTTGACCATGCTTGTGTGGGACCACTGTGCTACCTGTGGAGTTAATGGCATGTTGTATGAGTGCTCTGTTCATAGAAGGGAAACCACCTGCCAGGATAACACACTCTTGTTCCAAGGTATCCATCAAAACAGCAGTCTTAGCAAAGATGAGGTATAAATAATATAAATATATAAATAAAAATAGGAAAAACCTCTGGACTTCTCAGTAATTCTCAAGGAAATGCATAGTGGATATGGTGCCAGAGAGGTGGGGTGTGTTGACATCGGTCCCCAGGCACATGAGGCACCTTGTATAGGACAGTCTAAACTTCCTGTTTTCCTATTGCCACGTTCTTGAATGCAACAGTAAAATGATCTCTTTTAGTGGCAGGGGGGGGGGGAACAGACATGATCT